ACCACTGTTTATATCCTTATCGATCATGGTCGCAAGGGTTACGTAACGCTATATAGATCTATTAGCAATGTTGAAACTGAACTGAGTGAAACAATGAGGTGCACCCCAGCGATTTAAGGACGCACAACAATTTTCCATTGGATTTGGAATGTGTCTGCATTGGTGATCCCTTACTATGGTCTGTGAGTGGTCTAGATAACGTAACGCCACCCACGCGACCATTTAGATGCAGACCTCAAACCTATCACGGTCTTGTTAGATACATTTTCCCGTACTTGAGGCTTTTTCCTGTATTTCCCTGAAGCTCTTATTGGGTCACTGTTAGAATATTTTGAATAAGTCGCTGGCCATTAGTTTATATTTGCTCTTACTGGCTGTTTTGATCACTTTGGTGTCGTTACGATTTGTTGGAAAACCAATATACACTACGCATCACTTAATTCAAAATGATAATTTGTTTTCTTCAGCTCTTTGAAGAAGAGCTTAAAATGACTGTTCTTTTGGCAAGCCTATAGTACAGGCTGGGCTAAGATGGTGATGGTTTCCAACAAGTAAGTCTACTGTAACGCACTTGGTCTCCCGTAACTTTCGCCTTTCGGAGAGGCGAAAGTTACAGGATTTGTCATCAACGATAAAACGTGCATTACTCTAGTTTCTAAATAAAGATCTTAATTTAAATTTCAGCTTGTTGTACTTGAGATGAACCGACTGGGAATGCTTGTTGATCTGTCACACGTTTCCTTTGAGACAATGACTGACACTCTTGATGCTGTCAAAGCCCCTGGTATGTAGCTGATAAGAAAGAATTTCCTTTCCACCTTCCGACTTGGTTTGTTATCCTTCTTTCACCTTATAACCTCCAATGTCTGATTCTAAATCTTCTCCTTCTACCCCTATTCATGTTATTGCGAATTAGTAGAGTGGAATTGATGCAATCTTAAACCAAATTATGATAAGTTTGCTTATTGTTGCAATTTATTTCCCAGAAAGTGCACTAAAATTGTAAGCAGAGGTAACATTTCAATTACTTTGGTAGGATTTAATAGATTTTAATCCTCTCTGCTTTGACTAACCAATAAAGTCAGAGATGCATTTGGTTTCATAACATAATGCCTTTGATATAATTCTTAGTGATATTTAGCCATTCCTCTGCGTATGACATTCACTGTCAGCATGGCCGCAACGTTCCAGATTACGTCCTTCAGAGAATGGTGAGTTATTGGTACTCATGCTTATGCCATTCAGTTATCGCAGTAGTGTATGGTTGTTATATAAATCAGCAAAATGTGGAGGAAGATGCGTTTCTTCAGGGTAGAGGAAGCGTCGAGGATTTTGTTTCAGTTAGGGAACACTTAAAGCAAAGTTTGATGGAAAAATTTGAGCAACTATTTTACTGATGTTTCTTTCCTGCTTTTTTTTTTTCGCATGAAAGCCTGATAATGGAGGGGTGGTTATGGTGAACTTTTACAGTGACTACATACATTGCAACAAGAGCGATTCATCGAAAAAAGACACTATTGCATTGAATGCGACCTTAGAACAAGTGGCAGGTGAGTCAGGACAACTGTTTAAATAGAGCAAAGACCCAAGAAAATTTCATTTTGCCATGTTCGATCTTCCTTCTCCCTCATGTACCTCTTCATCTTTGGACACTCAGGGACATATTTCTCGCTAGGAGGAAGAGGGGAAGTCATTAACAGTTTTCACCCAGTTAGGATGCCTCTCGGGCTATTGCAGCTTGGTTCAGTTGTTTGGACCTTAAATAAGGTCAGATGCCCATGCAAACTGTTAACAAGAATTGATGGGAGACATTGAAATGCAGTTCCTTTTTTGTTTGGTTTCAGATCACATTGATCATATTAAGAAGGTCGCAGGAATTGATCACGTGGGCCTTGGAAGTGATTATGATGGTGTAACTCGGTAAGATACCTACGTTATTTTCTTTTATCCATTTTTTTTTCTTAGGATTACTTGATTCCTAAGTATTGAGGAATTACCTCAAGTGATCAGGGTGACATACAAACCTGTACGTGCACTTGTACCTCATGTTCCAATTCAAGAAAACAACTACTTTATTTTTTCGATTACTGTCAAAAAAATTTGGTTAAAACTTTCAAAATTTCGTTTTTTTCCTCTTTTGCTAGTGAAGCAGTTAAGTTTAAGTCTTGGTAAAAAATTACAAACTCTCCTCGAGTGCCCAACCTTCTCGAGTGCGTCACCCTGTAGGTTGGAAAAGTTAATAAGGGCCACTCCCGCCACCTCCGCTCCTAAAAAACAAAAATTTGATTGAAGTATACAAGAGGAGTATTTCTTTACTGGCTTGAAATCTGTAAATTAACTGTTTTTGGTACGTCTTTTATTTATTGTTTTATTTTAAAATAAACTAACAACTTGCCGAAAATGGTGAGAATTTTAATAGGGCCCCATCTCGAATAAGCGCCCTTAAGTTTAATAAGCGCTAAGAGTGCTTAATCGAGTATATACGGTGTCTAAGGTACTTTCCAAAAAAGTGATTATATATTTCAGCTTACCAAAAGGGCTGGGGGATGTATCAAAGTTTCCTGATCTTATTGCTGAACTCTTGAAACGAAATTATACTGAAGAAGAGGTGAAAAAGGTGGTTGGTGAAAATCTCATCAGGGCTTTTGAAAAAGCTGAAGAGGTCAGTGGAACGTTATGAAGTCAGTATACTATTAGATGAAAACATTTATGCCTTACTGGAGGGCTCAGCTGCCAGGTGATTATCAGTGTGGCTAAAGCTAAAATCTTGGACAAGACTGTTGAGACAGCTTACTCCCCCATTTTAGAACAAGTCCTGTTTGGTTCAATATATTTTATCTAAGGTGCTTTTTTTTTTCTTTCCTTTCAAGATTTAGACGGGGCTTTCATTTAATTGTCACAGTAACGTTTAAAACGCCAGATAATAAATGTTGGGGAAAGGCCCCTGCTCCCCTGCAGGGATAACCCTGCGCGTAAATAACGCGCACAGCACAATTAACACAGTCATGACATGATAACTGTCTCATTGTAACCAATCACGTTCGTTAATGTTATCGTTTTGATTTTACTGGAAATAATATGTGAAAAGTTGAGATGAAAATAAGGAAAATGAGAACCAATAGCCAATAGTGATTCAAGTTAACAGCATGGCGTTAATATGCTAGACATGATCATAAAACATCTTGGTGTAGAAACTCCACAAAATTTGACTGGATGTAATTAATTTTGTGGCTTTTCCTTCGTCATGAATATCAATTAAGAGGTTGTATATCTGAGAGTCGGTAGTATTTTCTGGTTTTGTTCTAGGTTGCCAAAAAACTACAGAAGGAACGACCTCCATACGACGAGTATCGATTCTTCACCAATGTAACTTGCAGACCGAATTACGGAGGCGGTTTGACAGGTTGGGTTCCAAAATACAACAGAACAATCACAGCAGTACCTTTGGTAATCTGATGGTCTTCCTGGCAAAGTTAAGATCTGACTGGATTTGCAGTTTAGTGAAAGAAGCTTGTTTGGTTGTATGACACAAAACCTAACGAAGGACTCGATACATTTTTATAACGTAACTATAGAATCGACAAATCAAACGCAACTATAGTGGAGGTTTCTGTAATGATGACAAATCAAACGTAATTATGGTGAGGGTTTCTCCAATGATGAATTGGTTCCTTCATCAGCCTTAAGTGATCTTGTCCTTTGTTAGTTTTACTGTGATAAATAAAGAAAAAATGAGGCCGTTTTTCTTCCAAGCTATACACAAGTTTCTTAGGGTCTATCCGTCAAAGTACTTCAACGTCACACGAGTAAGAATACTTTATTGTTATCATTATTATAATTACAAAAAGTCGTTGTTGCAAAGTCAGAGGGCTAACAGGGTTAAGAAAACAGCAATGTGTAGAGATTTGGCCGAGGGGTTCCTTTGACAGGTAATTGTCTTGAAACCTTAGATACAGTTGGTTTGGTTTTTTACTTAACGATCCCATAATCCACTTCAAAGCAGTCCATCAGTAAATTTCAACAAATTCTTCGTCGGTTCACACTCTACCCACGGCGTTTCCTTTAAGTAAGCCCCTTTTTAATAAGAAACCTTCTCAACTAAGTACGACAGTTTTGATTGAAATTCCAGTTGAAGGGGAGGTGCTCGACAGGAACTTGCATTTAACGAATAATCCTTCTTTGGGCAGAATGCCATCACTTGATAGATAGAGCGGATTAATTCCGAGAGAAACAGGCAGATATCTCGGGGTAGACCAAAGTGATAACATAAGAGGGCTATAAAAAATAATGGAAGTTGCATTTAAGATACTTCATTCCGGCAGGTCTTAAGGAGGACTTAATAATAGGTTTTCCATTTTACTCCATGCGACTTAATGTCTTATCTCACGAATGTAGGTCAGGGTTTTCCTCCGAATCTGGAACCAGTAAATCCCAGCGAAATCGACAGCATTTGAAGCTCTTCTTAACCAAGTGAAAAGCAACGTTGGCGTAGGTTTTCTGCGTCCTTTCAGCGCTGAAAATTGTGATGGATGCAATATAATGGCAAGCTATCCATCTCCTTGCGGAAATATTATGCTTCATGTTCACAGGTTGAATTCGTTCCATTGTTCAGTGTTTCGAAAAACAAACAAACAACGAACTCCAGGCTAGCCTTACTAGAAAACTGAATTTCCACGTCATCTATCGCCATTCTGCATCGCTTGTTCCATGAGATGTACGATTTCATGGTTTCCACACTTGTAAGCGATATCCAAGGGCCGCCTTCCTTCGCTATCCAAAGCTTTCATATTGCTACCGCGTTTAATCAAGAGCGTTGCCACTGTGATTGCATTACAAGCCGCAGCGACATGCAAAGGAGTACTGGCTTGCCAATCTAACGCTTCTACATCAGCTCCACGATCCAGCAGGATATTTGCAATGTCATCTCTGTCTGACTCCGCTGTCCGGTGAAGTGGGGTGTTACCTTCATTATCCACTGACCGGATATCACAGCCATGTCTAATGAACAGTTCTGATGTGTCACATGTCCAGCGTGACCTGGTGAACCTGAGGTGTTCGAAAAGCAACACATACCCTTACTTAACAATGTTAGTGATATTGTAACAAAAACGTTAGTGACATCTAGGGGCTGCATTATGATTTTATGATTCTTTTTTGCGAGACCTTTCTACCTCCCCTTTGTTATTTAGGCATAAATGGGAAAGCTCTGTTTCTAAGTATTCCTTATGTGCAGCAAATTTTATATTTCCAATTTATCGTCACCGGGAAACCTCTAGTCTAAACAGCATAATTCCAATTTGAAGCAAGAAAAAAAGCATTATTGTTAAGCAGCACCTCTTTTAACTTTCACAATCGTTTCCTTTTGCTTGATCTCTAGGTTCAGTAACCAGACTGATAAATATGCAAACTCTTGCAACTTTAATGGTCAGCACTTCAAAAAGCGAAGAAGGAAAATACCGAACCCATTCTACTCACTCACGTTTCACCCTCACAACCTCGCAGTTAAATTTTTCATTCCTAATAACCTTGAATTTCTTCAAAATGATTCAGAGACTGGCACTATCTTTTCGCAACCTCCACTAATTCCATTCAAACGCGATAAAAATAGGCAACTTTTGGGTCAAAAGTTAGTTGCAAACTAGTGTCCTAACTGGAACTCTTAAATGTGCTTGCGCACGATACAAAACCTGACCTTTCATTCAATACATAGAGAAAATGTTGGGTCCCAAGAGACCATTCAGATCACTGATCACTTCACGTATACCTTGCACTTATAGAAAAAAGTTTTACATAAATGAAACAGAAAGACGACCAGGCGGACCGATTCCGAGAACACCTTCGCGACGTAGAATAAAAAAGACGTATCCAAATCAGTCGCCAAACACTTTATCTCTCTAATCATTCTAAGTAGCAAATGGCAGTTGGCGGCCTCTCCCTAAATCAAGACAGTTCGGAAAGCCGCAAAACTAGACCAAAAATTGATCTTTCAAATCGGCACTCGTAATCCCCACGGTATCAACGAACGCTTTTCATTCAACTAATTTATTCTTGGAGAAAGACGTTTTTCGTCTTGTCACGAGCGTGGGACGAAGAAAAAATTCTGAGTGCCCATGAGGAACCGAACCTCAGGCCTCAGAATTTCTTAATAGAGCTCGCTCACCGTAGAGTCTCTGTGGCTCAGTGGTATAGCATCGAAGCACGGAATCCGAAGGTCTGAGGTCCCACGCTCGTGACAAGACGAAAAACATCCTCCTCTATGTCTTTACCGAGCACAAAACTTATCTTCTCTCTTATTCTAATCTATTCTTATTTTTCTCGTTACCATGTTCTAACCAATAGCGTGGCTCCATTCTCTGCCTACAAACACAAACACAATCCACAATTCCTCCTTTCGCTTTGGCGAAGGGCTAACGCTCGAAACGTCGGCTTCGAAACTCTTAATTTGCCTTTGACACGATTTTTTTTTTGCGTTTTCTAGTTGATAGCTCTATGTAAAATTTGAAATCATCGACCTTAGCCAATTTATGTTATCAACTCAGTTGATAACACCAAACTACCTTGTTATACTCTCCCACCGACGCAGCACAACAGTTTTTTTTAAGAGACATACCTCTTTATCCAATAGACAAGCAACTGAGAGTTGAGAAAAATATAAGAAAGATGTCACTCACTTTGCTCTTGAGCGTTCACACTTCACAGCACAGATGAGATGTAGAGGGGTGCTTCCCTGATTGTTCCTTGCGCGAACATCTGCTCCGTTTCTCAGCAACAGTCTGACCGTAGTGGGATCCGTGATCCATTCAGCCATCAAATGCAGTGCGCTGTTACCATCAATGTCAGTTTTCTTGACGTCACAACCCTTCTCGACCAATAGCGCGACAGTATGATATTTCCAGACGCATTTTCTACAGCCGTGTGTGCATTCACATTTAGCGGTGATTGCTTTGTGAATGACACTCTCCTTTCGCTTGTTACACGTGGTTATATCACAGCCATTTTGTAACAGAAGCTCTGCAGTGTGTGTGTTACGATTGTTAGCAGCCAGATGAAGTGCTGTGTTGCCATGGATGTCAACGGCGTGAATATCAGCGCCTTTGTGAATCAGTACCTGAGAAATCTTACGGTTTCCCTTAAGCCCGGCCGAAAAATGCAAAGCTGAGCGACCGAGCTTGTCTTTTACTGCAATGTTCGCATCATTATCGAGTAAAAGTCTTACAACAAGATCAGGCCTACGAGAGAATTTAATGGCTCGCATTAATGGCGTACAACCTTCGATGTCTATCGCGTTTACTTTACTGCCATAATCAAGAAGCTGTTGTACAAGTTTAACTGAAGAGCTTTGGGCCGCCATATGCAGTTCTGTTCTTCCTTGTGGATCTATGTCGCCTACTTTACTTCCAAATTCAAACAGCAATTTTGTCATGGCGAAGGTCATGCGTTCATTTCCAAGGAAGGTGTGGAGATTGATGTACACGTTGTGAAGTGCTGTGTAACCTTCTCGGTCAATTAAGTTCACATCAGCACCTTGGTTTAGCAACAAAGAAGCAATTTGAAAATGTCCTTCACTTACAGCTAAACAAAGCGCCGTACGTTTAGCACCATCTCGAGCATTGACGTCACTTCCATAACGCACTAACATTTCCGCCATGTTTATATGATTATCTCCATATGAGCAGGCTATGTGCAGTGGTGTCTGATCATCACAGTCTTTAGCCTCACGCTGAGCACCTCGCTGTAGTAACACTTCAGCAAGGCTAGTTTTGCCATTCTGTGCTGCAATATGTAAAGGAGTCAACAGGCTGTCGTTGGCGGCGTTTAGTTCAGCTCCATGACTTAATAGGAGCTCTACTACGTCATCACTACAGTATGCAACTGCAAGTGACAAAGGTCGGTCACCTGTGACTTCTTCAGCATTAAGGTCGCTGCCGTTTTGTATCAATAACTCAGCGATTTCTGAATGGCCTTCCTGGGCGGCAAAGTGTAGCGGGGTCTTGTTATTATTGTCATTTTCATCGACGTGGGCCCCCTGCTCCAGCAATAGAATGGCGCAATCTTTTTGATTGTAGATCACGGACATAAACAATGATGTCTGACCCTCGTGGTCACGTGCGTGCACGTTCGCCCCCCTTTCAATCAACAGCTTCACCATGGCAACTTGTCCTTCTAGGGCGGCGTAATGCAAAGCAGTTCTTCCAAATATGTCATGCGCGTTGACGTCGCTACCATAGCGAAGCAACAGCTCGGTAGTTTCTCTGTGATTTTTAAATGAGGATTGAAACAAAGGTGTTTTTCCCGAGGCTCTTGCGTCCACATTACTTCCCCTTCGAATAAGAAGGTGAACTAGGTTAGTGTAACCTTTATCAGCAGCTAGGTGAAGTGCAGTAAATCCCATTGGATCTGTAGTATGAACACTACCACCCTGAGCCAGAAGAAACTCGACTGTTTCGTAATTTCCTTTCGCCGTCGCCAACATAAGTGGTGTATGACCGCTGGATGATCTTGAATGGACGTCAGCGCCATGTTCAATAAGGATCGCAACTGTTTTGGTGTGTCCATTTTGGGCGGCAAAATGCAATGACGTCATCCCTCGATCATTAACATCACTCACACCACAACCAGCTTCTATTAACAACAGAATAGTCTTGGATCGGCCGTTGACAGCAGCATAATGAAGTGGACTCATTTCATGTTTATCTTTAGCATTTACATCGGCTCCCTTATTTAGAAGAAGCTCTGTGAAAGCTGTAGTGTTGCGCGCAACTGCTAACATCAATGGCGTGACTTGATTAGTGTCGCGTGACAATTCATTTGGGTCTGAACCAATGTCCAGAAGTCTCTTGAGGTGTTCCACCTTTCCTCTTCTGGCAGCGATATGCAGCAGCGACTTGGACTGAAATTCAAGATATATAGGGCCCAGAATCGCGTTTATTCTCGCGTTTTTGTCTCTCTGGGATGAACCTCTTAATTCTAGTGCATTTCTTCCTGGGTGAGACCCGTGACTCTCTGTGTTGATAGTTAAAGCGATAGCATTGTCTAGTTTACCAGGACTGTAGTTTGTGATTATTTGAACAGTTTCTAAATCATCTTCTAAACACGCAGCATGGAGTAAGCTCAGTCCACTGGGTTTATTTGTGGCTGTTGTGGCCTGGAAAGCCAGTGATCGCAATGTCATCTGAAATAATGCCAAAGCCGTTAAGGTTTCAAGATACTACTTGGGATTTATTAATTCCAGACGGGAAAACGGTTAATTTTTTAGCTTTGATTCAAGTTGGCGGACAGCGACCGTAGGACGTAAGAGCTTCTGTGACATTTAATCAAGATTATGCATACACCGTATTCTCGAATAAACGTCGACGCTCTAATAAGCGCCCTTCCCCGAAGAAGCGCCCAACCCCCTCAGCCATGATGTAAAACAAGCGCCCCTCTCGAATAAGCGCCCCCCTTCTCCCTCACTTCCTTAAAAAGTAGGGATAGAAGGAAAACCTGTTTCTATCGCCACTTATTTTTTTTTAAACTTTTTAAGCTTCAATTACGGCAAAATCAATACAGGAGAGCAATAAACACCCCTCCTCCTTCCAAGAAGCGCCTCTCCTTTAAAGTGCTTATGACACGGAATTTTGTTTTGCTTCTTTTCGGTTGATGGCTATATTCATAATTAGAAATAATCGATTTAAGCGCCTGGCGAGTTCTCCTTGGCCAATTTTTTTGGTGCATTGAAAGTACGATTTGGCGGCCAAAAAGTGTCCCCATTAAGCGCGCGGCCAAAACGATCATGTTACATGGTTGTGACGTAGAAACTGTGAAGACACGTCGGCAACTATGGTGGAGAAAGGAGAAATCAAGAAGATAAGACGAGCGTATTACGTGGCCGGAGCGACAAATGATGTTAGCTACAAGAATAATACACATGTACCGGGTATTTCTATACTCTACTTTCAAAAGGATGTAGCTGTATGGCCAAATGGACGCGTTTCGATCGTTGACATCGAGGAGATTTTACTCTTTAATGTCGTCGGCCTTATGCTCCGAACCGGCTCTGAAGGCGGCTGTTACGAACACATACCACTAGACAAATTAGGGGAAGATAACTAAAGCATTTAGCTTAAAAGAATGCTGATTAAGGAGCCTGTTCCCACACCGTAAACGATTGTTCAACATTATTTTTGGCTGACACGTCGCAAGCGAAGAATGGTGAGCTCCTTATTGTTCAGGTTTATTTCACGCGCTTGAGATGTACTCATACTCCTTGTCTTTCCACATAACTACATTCAGTTTGCACTTTTCTGTTTTCTGTTATTTTGTTACCAGAAAAAAAAAATTATTTGTGATAAATTTCAAGCCCTCTCCTGAACAGGCCGATATCCTGTTGCGTGAATAGTGCGAAACTTCTGGCGGATACTGGCATAAACACAGGCTCGAAGGGGCCGTGTATTCTCAGAAAATAAATTCCACGAGCTATCAATTCTCCCCTGTCCTCAAGAAACTAAAAGTAGCAACAATAGCAGTCAATGTGATAACAGCATTCCAACGAGAAAAATAAAGAAACAAAAAAATTAATTGAATTAGATGGTAGCGAATCTAAGCGCTGTGTGAAAGCCGATGCATAGGAAAATACTAATTTATAACACCGATGTCAGTTCTTTGCCATTGAGCGAAATGGGTCATACGGCAAAGCTGCACTTAAACTAAGGAAATTTTCTCCATTAAAATCTCTATTTTAAATAAATTCGCTCGTTTTCCGTTTGACCGGCTCGACGACGACAGCCTCAGCCTTTGCAATCTTTGAGGAAAGGAGCAACGAAACTCTAGAGCACTGACCAGGGGAGCCTTCCCCGCGCTTAGCGCGAAGGAATAAAATGTTATGTCAACAAAAACGAACACAGCTACCCATTCTTAACATAGATTTCATCATAGAAAACAAAACACAAACGCAACAAACTAAACATTCAGTAACGGGAGTTTTTTCTTCTAATCTTGACCAGAAAACCGCACGCGAGAAACCGTCTAGTAGCACGCAATTCTCCTTCGTAGGGCTGAATAGGGCTTGCATAAGTTAGGAATACATCGCTATCGGACATTATTTCAAGAGTATTTCAATGCTGACCGATACAAAATTACAAGAGATGTGAGAGATTTGTAAGTGTTAACGGAGAGTTTTCACAGTTTTCTACGTCATCACCCGCTAATTCGTTACCAGTCCGTGGGACACTCTTAAGACAATATAAGAGCACTTACGAGTTTTATTTTTTTTTTAAATCTTTCTTCTATCGGAATTGGTTTGTACACATGATAATCTAAATATTTACACAAAAAAAAGATTTCCTGTCATGGGCACTTTAAGCCGAAAGTTTAAATTAGCGTCCAGGTGCTTATTCGAAGAAATACGTTACATCCGTAACGCAATGCCTCAAACGTGATTCACAACTTACACCTTTCATTCCACTGACAGCCGAATCAGTGAGCTTAACGTAAGATGGAGCGCATACTGCATTGGTCGGCTTTATTCGAAGAACACGAGTCACGCCAAATCGACAAAAATCTAATTAAATATTCATGTAATTGTTTAACCACGAATGTGGAATGTTTTCGGTACGTTTTTTTCCCTGTCATTCCCGTTTACAGCTGTGTGCTTGGTTGCCAAGCCTTTGAACAGGAATGAGGCTATGGGTGACCTTGTTACGATACAAACCTTGCTCATTCCAAGTCAAAGGCTTGGCAATTAAGTACACAATTGTAAAATGGCCTATTGAGTGAATGACTTCAGCGACATTTGATGAGTTTGTCACGCACTGTGACTGAAAATCCCGACATGTAATGACAAACTGCGTTGGTATGTACTTCAAAATGTAAGAGCGCGTTCCCTTTCTCGAACACATTACTGCATGCAACGTCACAACCAGAATACTTAATTGTTGCTTATCGCTATTTTGACTACTAAAGACCAAAACGCTCACAACACTCCACTAATTCCGGTCAACATACGGGAATTCAGAGCAACTAATTCTAAACTTTAGGTCGAAAAGTGCTCGCTTCCAGTTCATTAACACCTTCTAATTCTAATAAACAGATCCCAGAAATCACTGCGAAAACATATTTCAGCCCAGCATGTTGATAATTTAAGTTTGACTGCTCAGCTCCAAAGTGAGTGATAGCTTTACATACCAACTGGGAATATACCATGTTATTGCTCCCGTCCATTCTGAAATCTCCTTAGACCTGATTCTGGATTGTAATGGCTTCTTCTCGTCAATCAAGAGCCAGAAACAAGGCAATGTTGTCTTTTAAGCGGCCTGTCGCGGAGAAATGATTTCCCTCATATACGTTGTCGTTGCCTCTATACGCAATAACAAATCATTAACTGCATTCTGTTCTGAAAGAGGACGAGTTGAAGACTGGGTCCTAATTAGTTGAGTTTCACCCAACGAAAAATTCTGAAATCCTGTCCTCATAATAATCCTATTTAGTTCAACCCTTGAATTCTTTTTTTTCTAAAATACTACATGTTTATGTGCAAACAACGATCTCTGTTTCTGTTGTCGATATTTAGTCCTGTGTCTTTGCGCAGGCTCATTTCTCGGAGAGCGGTTCATGATAACCTATCATACCATTCATATGCCCTCCAAGATCAACAAACTGAAATACCTTCGCACAACCCAGCTAAAGAGAAAAATCAACCAGATGGGTTTTGTGTGGGTTTATATGCAGAAAATGGAGTTTGACGGGAAAACAAAAATAAATTGGTTGAATGAAAAGCGCTCGTCGATACCGTGGGGATTAAGAGCGCCGATTTGGAAGATAAATTTTTGTGATAGAGTTTTGCGGCAAAAATTTTTCTCCTAAATCGACACCCTTTATCCCCACAGTATCAACGAGCGCTTTTCATTCCACTAATTTATTCGTGACTTTAAATATATGAAAATGATATATGTGCACTGCCGTTGAAGAAACGAATATAGAAGCGATCCTCACAGTTAAGAACACTACTAAACTAGTTGTTGAAAAAAGGCCTTAAAAATATTCAGGTTCGTACGGGATTTGAACCGATGACTTCTGCGTTACCGGTGCAGCGCTCTTCTGTATTCGTTAATTTAGTCTCGTTTTCTAGTCACCGTATTCCCACCAATAGCGTAGCTTCATTTTCTGCATACGAACCCAATCGCTCTGACGAAGGGCAAACGCTCGAAACGACAGCCTTTAAACTCTTTACGGTGGCCAATTTATGATTTCAAGTCAGTTGATAACACGAAATTACCCTGTTATATTCTCCTGCCGACGCAGCACCACAGTTTCCTTAGAAACTTACCCCCTCTCTTCATTCAACCAGATTACCATTTTGACGTGATGACACGTACATGGTCCCTAGGGATTAATAACAGCTTTGCTTTGCATACATTTAAAGTAACGCTTCGTTACGTTATGCAAAGCTTCAAACCAACAAGATGGCGATTTTTAGACGACTGATATTAACCGTAGTTCTCCTCCACAGATCATGGTGTGCGGATAACTCAGGCAAGTATTTAGCCTCATAGCGCTGTTGATCATTGTGATTTCACATCTGTTGCTCAAACAAGACAAAAAAAATTCACACAACTCAATAGCCAAGCCGGGTTGCTCATTATTTCTAAAGTTCTGATCTTTCGTGAGCGATGTCTGAATTATTCGGTAAGCAACGCTTAGACTGATTTTGTTATTACGCAGTTCCCTCAGGTTATTATTGTTAACAACCTTTGCTTAAGAAATATTAGCTCTCTAACCTGGAAACCATGGAGTCGGTACGGTAGTATTTGCTGAGACTCCTTCAAAGAGATGATGATAACAAAACGTGGTTCAAGGCATAACACGATTACTACACGAGATCATATATTTTATTCTTTCAGACGCTGGGTTTTGAGTCATAGTTGAATCGACTTGATATCGACTTACGTTAGAGGTGCCAGTTTATGTCACGCAACGGCATAATGTAATACAGTGCTCTATAGCAACTAAACTGGATTTACTCGTCGGGCCCAAATGTAGAGGCTGTGGTTATGTGCTTGGCAGCCGTACGGTCTTTATTACGGTATAATTTAACCAGCAGACTCCAACAAATCCAACTACTTAATTGAACAACGTGTCCAAAACTATAATTCTTACTGAGAAGATTCCGTTAGGCAACACAATATTAATCCTCTAGAAACATACTTCAACCCATAGTTCACCACTGACACATACTCACTGTTGCCTCCGAATCTCCTCGAAATGCATAATTTTTGAGGTAGTTACGAAAACGAAGACCCATTACGAAAACGAAGACCCCCTACGAAAACGAAAACCCATCATGAAAACGAAGACACATTACTTGCAAACTGATCCATCAGTGGGCTGCCTTCCTACAAAAACGGGAAGCTTTTGGGCCATTGTTTGGGCCACGCACGCCACGTGGAAGAAACCGCGTGCACCGTAAATTTGAAGACGGCACTTTAAAGCTTCTCATAGGTATTTAACATTAAATACAAAGCCTATTATGCCAGCTTTGTCCTGTGTGTTTTGCTGCTGGTAAAAAATGTCATCGCATTCTTTGATTCGCTTAATATATTTGCTTTACTTTAAAAAAAAGAGCTAAGGAAACGCAATTAAAATCAAACCAATACAGTTATCCTATTTTAGTTGATGGAATATATGAATTCCGTATATTCTCCTTGACAGTTATCTTATGTAAAGTTATCTTTACCTCTAGCGCTTAAAGCGTCACGCAACGCATCTTCCATATGCATGTCATGTCTATTAAATCGAAAGCTCCATGGGGCTCTACTATTAAAACATTCAGTAACGAGTTACAGACGTGCCAAGTTCAGAATTCAAGATTTCAGTAAGGATCTTCGTTTTCGTAGTGTGTCTCCCACTACGGGATGTATGGTAGATTTAGAGAACAATAGAACCTCACACCAGTTCATATTTAAACAATTACTGACTTCGTTAAGCTTTTTCGGTTACATAGACGACTGCCTGCCGATTACATTGATTGTGTACGCTTGATTACATTGGTTGTGTACGCTAGGGGCCTTGTCAGTTGATGGCCTGACCTAGTAATAAAGTCTACTGTGGAACCAAAACGCTTTCATATACTTGACGTCCGTAAAAGCTCGTTTGAAGTAGATCGCCGTGTACCAGGAAATCGTGACGAGTTTCCATTCCCGCTGCCGAGTTGTCTCTACCGAGCCATTTTTCTCCACTGTTGTTGTGCCATCCGCGAGAGTTCAGTTGTGCACGAAAAACTATCGTCACAAAACATACCCATTGTTACATCAGATTCATTGAAGATCGTTGGATTTTATGAACCATTAATTTTTGCAACCCTTAGGGCTTGATGTTTAATCGATAGCTTACTTGTCTAGTATTACAGGATTTCTTACAGTCTTTCGCAGTGAGTCACTTTCGTGCATTGCTTTCGATTACACAACCCTTTTCCGTCCTCCCTACCACAGGTGTTGTTATTACGGTGGCCGGGGGCGGGAGAGCCCATCACGGGGGTACGGCAGACTGTTTGGATTATCAGACTCCCACCATGGACGGAATAGGAACAGGGGCCAGGTTTAATTACCCTTGGGGTATCGTTTTCGACGCGGAAGACAATGTACTTTATGTGGGTGACTGTGTAAGTAGATGTATTGTGAGTCATGTTTTTTAAAGGCATTAAAGCCTTTTCCAAGCGTGTTAAATGATCATATCAATACTTCTTGGCACGAATATAGGAGCATGACGCTTAGTTAAGTTTATGACTGAAATTAACATAATACTACGATTTTTATTCCAAACAGTAGTCTTTTCGCGCGGCACAAAAATATTATGTCTAAACTCCATTCAACGAGAATATTTCTCTCGCTGCAATCAAGGGTGTTGGAGGACAAAAGTACAACTACAAATTAAACTAAAATTATGCGTAAATTTGTAGCTTCCCTCTCATGCAAAAATTTTAAATCTTCCTCTTATTAACAGGGCTGCCCCGAAACGGTCCACAGCAATGATCGTTTAAGGAAAATCAATGTCACGACTGGTAAGCATTGTCTTCCTCAACATTCGGACCCGAACTTCAAATAGGACTAAAAATCGAATGTCAGACTTCAGGATCTCTCTCTACTGCGGAGATTAGTACAACATTATCTGAGGATTCTTGAAGATTTCTAGCTTTTGTTAAGTTTTATTTTTATCGGAGAGTTTTAATCTTTTCAGGCCGAGTAACGACATTAGCCGGCAGTGCTCAGGGATACAAGGATGGGATCGGTGAAAATGCTAAGTTCCGTCACGTGTCAGGTAATGTAGACAAAGCAGCTAGATGAGGTAGTTAAAGTGGAGATGAAGGATTGGTTATTATACCCAAATATGAGATTGTTGAAAAAATAATCTTCATGTAAACAGGTAGAGAGTTTGCTTAAATTATGCTCACGTAGGTTAACTGAGATTAAATGGTCACGTGCTCACACAGAAGTTTGACGTTAACTTAAGGTCAGTGTAGTATCCCTAAATTTGAGCCAACACCTTTTTTTGAGTCTAAGCATCCACAGAACACCCGTAAACAGTTTTAAGCATAACTTGTTAAGTATCAGAAAACAGTAAACCGAGTTTATATTCACATCAAAGAAGGAGCCAGACGTGGTTGTGTTCGACCTCGACCTCGACCTCTTTTCGTTCACGAAAAGTTCAGAACCACAATGATCTCAAAAGGGAAATTTGTTGTTTTCGGATAGAGAGTTGTTTCGTGCGCGATGTTCATACAGAGAAACCATTGAGTAATTATTGAGTTCGAAATTGCTTTCTCCTCTTGCAGGTATAGTTATGGATAAAGTCGAGAGAGTTTTATATGTTGCCGATAGCGTGAGTTTAGCGTCCAATCTCTTTCCACACCCTCAAACAATGTTACATAAGACTGAAAAACACTTCCTCACGATGTGCCATGAAAACTTAAACTTTGGGCCTGGTGAATAAGAAATCGCTTGGGATAATTGTGTAATGACGCCGTACAACCTTGAAATAAAAAAAATAGATGAACCCATACAGACCTCCCGCCTAGAAAATAACATATTTATTAAATGGCTGTTAGCGCACGTGAGCAGATAAAATTTGATCCCGCGCAAGGAAAATAATTAAATGGAATGGACTTACAAAGTCCGTAAGTTTTGGACAATGTCGGCAATGGAATCACAAAAAGCGGTGGGCGGTCAACGAAAAACGTAAACGAGATTTAAAAATAAACACGTATCCTAGTTGGCTTTCTTTCCCAGCGTTCAAAAATAGACAAGTCATTCTTGAATGTTGTTGAAAATGTTTCGTGTCTGGAACTCTCGTATTTTGACCCATTTCGTTGTCTAAAGTACTCGTTTCTTTCGTTATTGTACAGGGAAACGACCGAATAAGAAAAGTTGATATTAACACAGGTGAGTTTTCTGAGGCTACTTTCTTGCCACTCATTAAACCTTCCTTTGTGGTCCAGTTGGGATGGACAAAATCTCAGGGCTAGTTATTCAAACAAAGTTTAGCCGTTGCTTGACAAAACCATGCTCTGAGCCATCTTCAATTTAGCCGAAATTTTTATCTGAATATTTATTTTAATGATCAGTGTCAACCCTCTTATAGAGAATCCCCGAGACGTAAAACCGTCGTTTGGGTTAGATGTAAATAACCGGTCCTTACTTTCTACGCTTTTAAAAGTCAACGGAAAACAAAGAGACAAGGGGTTTTTGTAGCAAGTATAACACATAGGCATGCTACGTATGCAAGAGTTTGTTTTTTTTTGGATGGACCAGTTTAAGGGCCTGTTTACATGGAGGTGGGGGACCCCAGGTAGGTGAGGTAACCAGCCTAGCCGTGGTCGAAAAATAAAACGCGTTTACATGCAATCTTACAACCCCGGGGTGCTGGGGTGAGGTTTCTTGAGGTTGTTGTTTCACTTGGTCGCATGGTCGATTTACACCGCTAAATATTCCGAAATGTTCACATTTCGGAATATTTGGCGTTGTAAATCGATCATATTTTGTGTATATTTCCCAAACTATTTCTTATAACGTATTAAGTGTACGATTCCTCGCGTAACCTAACACCGCGTAACACAACGCGTGACGCTTTCATGAATAAATACATACATGTCCAAGAATAAACCTATCGTCTTTCTCGAGATGCGAGCTTGGGACGTCTGTGCTCAAACTCTCTAATTGCAAGCGCAACAACAACCTCAAGAAACCTCACCCCAGCACCCCGTGGTTGTAAGATTGCATGTAAACGCGTTTAATTTTCGACCACTGCTAGGCGGGTATCTGAATCAAACATGTAATTTATTTACACGCTCTCTTCCCCGTTGCGTGACGAGACCTAACATTGGCCTCCTCGCAGGCTAAGACAATGCTTGATGTCGTTGTCTCGTCAGAGACAAAATTTGAATTATTTAGTTGCAGCTAATTGCCTCAAAAATATTCTCTCTATAATTCTGCACTGGAAAGCAAACCGAAACTCTGTTTATCTCCAGTAGCCATTAACCAAATTATTTACGGTCTCTGTTCTTCGAACCAGTGAAAATATATTGAACGAAGAGAAAAGTATCAAATTTCAGAGCGTAACAATGTGGGCTCCTTATTGGTTGTCGCCTTCTGGACTTTGCATGCGTAATACGTTATGAAATGAAGGTTGTTCACAAGGAATTGACGCGTGATAGGGTGAAGTCTAAGGTAGCTAAAAGCGAATTTGATCGGTAGAACACGTCTGAGCACGTGAGAATTGATAATGGTAATTGGAGTCCAATCCGGTCTGTAATCATACAAGTGGTTAACAAAATTGTTTGTACGTTTTCCTAAAAAAAAACAACGGTTGACTCGGCGAAATGAGAAACAACAGTGTGCGCACGTGACGCGTTCTGTCTACTTACACAGGCATGACACTGATTGGTGCAAGTACACCCCACTGCTGTGATCTTATCGGTGCGAGATACATACCCGAATGTGGCGATTTGATTTGTGCGAGCAACATTCCCCCTTGATTCACCAATAAAGTGTTAATTTTTAAATAACTCAAAACGGAGGTGAAGAGAATTAAATTGAGCCATGTGCTGACAACGTGATAACATCTTTCGGTCAGCTTTAAAACTTCTGTGGTCCTCCTGCAAAAGTTCTTTTGCTTGTTCTTTTCACCATTGCGCGTTCTAAGATTAAGGGACTTAGATTAAGTCTTGAGTTCTTTATTTCAGCTAACGTAATTACATTTGCTGGTAGTGGGGAGTCTGGATTCCTTGATGACGTAGGACTCAAAGCTATGATGTCCAATCCTCAACAACTGGAATTAGACAGCATGAAAAGGAGGCTGTTCCTTAGTGATACGGTCAGTTACTACACATGTTAGACTCCACTAGACGTCAAACAAGGTTTATTATTTCTGAGTTTCCCTCCTCTCCTCTGAAGGTTTTCGTTCAGTTTATCACACTATCGAATTATTTGAATCGTGACATTATTAACTGCTGATAATCCACTTTCATCCAAATAATTTTGAGACATTTCAGTGTTTTATTTTTCATGTATCTTCCTTTTTTCCCCACGAATAGAAGTAGGGTATGATTTAGAACAATATACAAGTTGTATTTTATTGATAGATTTTAATGCTCGACTTCATCGCGAGAGAACTAACTCTAAGAAGCCTGGCGTTGCTGATTCCATTTTATAGGAGGTTTCTTGGTTGCTTTATAAATAACTAGCGGATAATGAAGCAGTGGATAAATATTATCTCATAGGAGATAAAAGACATACAGAGCGATTTCATCATATTTTAAATACTTCAACGTCATATGCAGGTATCTTACAGCCTTGTTTCATGTTTTGCTGAATTCTCTTTTTATGTATAGTAATGTTTTTTTACCGGCCAGGATAATCACGCAATACGGATTATCTCATTACCAAACGGTAAGTTAATAGAGATATAGGGACCTCCAGAGGTACGTATTTTAATTTAAAAGAACATTAACCTTTAAAAAAACCTTTCTCGCTTTTCATTTTATGTATTTATTGTGTGTCGGTTGGTTTCTTTTTTGGGAGGGGGCTTGCCTTTAACGCGTCGATTAGGTGATTAGAGTGGAGTCGTTGGTAAAAAAAAGGGGGGCGCTGTTAATTATTTAATACTCGTACAGTCTGCCTGCCTGTGTGTTCATGATATTTATGGCTGCTTGAAACCTAATTTAAGCTCACTCAAGCCTCTTTCATTTAAACAGGAGAAGTTACAACAATAGCAGGTGGTAGTCAAGGATTAATGGACGGCATCGGAAAAGATGCAAAATTTTATCACCCAACCGGCATCTCACTTGATGTGCTTACTGGAACACTATACGTGGCTGATCACGTAAGAAATAAATATGTAGCTGATCTCATCAGTTTGTAGGACGCTCGCCAATTATGAACCCTGTATACAGCTTCCCATTGCTGGGCTTATCTCATGCGTCAGGGAGTTCTCTGTGTTACAATGGTAGAACTTCCAGCCATAAAATCTGAAAGTAAAGATTTGACCCATAAAATCTGAAGGTAGAGATTCCACCCATAAAATCTGAAGGTAAAGATTTAACCCATAAAATCTGAAGGCAGAGATTCCACCCATAAAATCTGAAGGTAAAGATTTAACCCATAAAATCCAAAGGTAGAGATTCCACCCATAAAATCTGACGGTGGAGCGTCCACCCATAAAATCTGAAGGTAGAGATTCCACCCATAAAATCTGAAGGTAGAGACTCCACCCATAAACTCTGACGGTGGAGCGTCCACCCATAAAATCTGAAGGTAGAGTTTCCACCCATAAAATCCAAAGGTAGAGCGTCCACCCGTAAAATCTGAAAGTAGAGCTTCCACCCATAAAATCTGAAGGTAGAGCTTCCACCCATAAAATCTGAGGATATAGATTCCACCCATAAAATCTGAAGGTAAAGATTCTACCTATAAAATCTGAAGGTAAAGATTCCACCCGTAAAATCTGAAGGTAGAGATTCCACCCTTAAAATCCGGAGGTTCAAATAATCGTGAAAAAAAAAAAGAATTATGTCTTTGTCTAAAATTCTTGAAAAGAGTTTGATTGAATAGCTTTGTGTGTATAGTAACCGAGTGACTGGCTTGTAAACGATACAAACTAAGTAAGCAGCGAGGAAGCGGGAAGTGGTAGTCTTCGTTGCCTCCCAACTTACTCAGCTCGCTGATTGATGTTTTTTTAAAAGTACTTTTTACTTTCCTTGTCTTGTTGTTTACAGTATAACCATATGATACGAACAGTGGACATAAATAGTGGTAAGATGATATATTCTGATTTATTGTACTCGTCAAATATATCCCTCTATATGGAGAAAGATAATTTGCTAGTGGACTAAAAATAGATGTGTTTCTTCACTCATATTGTTACTAAATATGTCCTTGTGTAAGATAAAATATCTTTGAAAATATGTTTACCGGGTAGTACAGGCCCGTATGTCGTTGTTTGGGCTTTTTTTTCTTTATTAATCATTCATCTGTATCCTCAGTATACTTTAGCTTACGTTGGTGTCCGTTTTCTGCAGTTCTCTTACGTCTGTTTGTGTTTGTTTATAATTGTCAATCTTCGTGTTCGATGGTGCTCTGCTTTGCGTTGCGAGTAACTGGTATTGCCATCTAAAGTGCATCATTCAAAATTTTCATCAACGCTTCTCGTTATACTCAGATAACTCTGTATTGTTTTGTTCCGCTTATAAACTGTGGATCAATATTCCCATGTTAGGTGAAGTCACTTCACTGGCGGGTGGGGGAAGAGAAGGATTTAAGGATGGTTTTGGAAAAGAAGCGAGGTTCAATTATCCTGAGGGGTTGTACTTTGACACCGATTCTAATTTACTCTATGTTGCAGAGTTTGTAAGTATCAATAAAGAAACCCTTATGTAAATAATCAATAAAAGGATAATTAATTCGTGCTCACGGACACAGGAAAAATAAATTAAGTCTGCCTACTAGATTAACTCACACAGCGTCTGCAGTTTATCCCAGTTTCTGAAGTATGTTATGATAAGGAGAAATGATACTCCCCCCCACCCTCCTGGGTGGGATGCTTCTCCACTGCAGGCTAATACCCCTCCACCCTCAGTGTATTACGTGGTTCATAACATTCATTTACATTCGTATTCAGTGGAGAGAGGTGATGTAAGAGTTAACAAGAAGACAACACAATAATGTTTTCCAGCGTTAGCTAGCTTTTTGCTAAACTTACAGCTGTGGATAAATAAACGTATCGAGGAAAAGAAGAAAGGATGGAAAGAATTGGTTTCTAAGAGGCGTCTGGATTTGACTTGATACTTGAACGAACGAAGTTAGCATTAATTCTAAAGTTTTTTGCCTTTTAACTGACAAGCCTTCCCATAAATTCATTTTAGGACAGCCATGCCATAAGGATTGTTACCCCTGCAGGTAAGCGATGTTAGTTCTTCTAAATTACATACCTCTGTGTGCGACACATGTGTGGTCAAAAGATACGAATAACTGAATGCAATATTTTTTGGTAGCTTTCATTTATTAGTTTTATAAAGAAATACTTGTTTGTGCTCTGCAGATTCTGGAGCAAACCAGACCATTTTTTTGTTATCTCAATTTTTTATGGAGCCGGTGGAATTAACTGTTGTAAAGGTTGTATCTTCATCAGTTGCTTTTACATTTGGCGATCCTAAGTACAAAATTTTTTTTTCGTTCTTTATATGTTTACGAATATTTTAAACAGAAAATTTTTTCTTAGCAGGACTTTAAATAGTATTTTATGACAGCGTAATACACTGTTTCAGTGCGCAAATCGATTTAAGTTTTCAGATCATCTTTAGTAAAGTTTGTCTTTTCAACAACAGGTGAAGTAAGGACGCTGGCCGGCGGGACTGAAGGCTTCAGAGACGGAGTCGGCAAGGAAGCGAGATTTTTTCATCCCACTGGGTTAACGTTTGACAATAAAAGAAAAGTTATATACGTTACAGACCAGGTGAGCTATTCATATACTGCGTGTCTCAAGAAAATTGCGAGTTGGAAGGCGATTGCTGGGCTCATCACGTTGGTTAAAATAGTCAAAAAGACAGAATTTTGTGCTCAGAGGGCATAGGGTGAGGGTTAAATTTGGAAAGGACTTCCTTCTACTTCAGTTGCGAACCAAAACGTCGACATTCGAAAAATCAAATTCACTGTTTGATATTCCGAGAACTCAACGAATGGGCTTGTTGATCAACCTCATTCTTAGAGCGTTCTCTTGAAAATGTTGCCTGTAGATTTAAATTTTTAGTAGCATGACTGAACTTTACAGAATTTTTCGTGGAATTTGTCAGTTTTCGTTCTTTTTCAGTATAATCACATGGTGAGGAGTATCACTGCAGTTGGTACAACAGTCGTAGATCCCAAGAAATCAGGTAAAAAATTTAGGGGAATGATTGAATTTCAGTGAACCACTCCCTGACATATTTTTAGTTTCAATGGAGACTTTCTCTGCTGGAGCGTAGAATAATGATAGTAGAGTAAAGTGCCTAAACATAAAGATAATGAACTTGTTTGCTTTCGACCAGTATTAAAACATAGAATTATGACAGCAAGACTCATCCGTATAGTCATCAGCTAAAAGGAAGCACAAAGACTGGTAAACCTTTACTTTTGAGATATGTACGATAAGAAAAAAAGTGACAATGACTTACCAAATATTTCGCTTGCAAATCAATGCCGACCCTTGTTTGAGATTTTTTTAAGGAAACGTGTTCGTGAATATTTAAGAGTAAGGAAGGCGAAACTGTTGGGCTTATTATTCTCATACATGTCACTTAATCTTTGTTTCAGGTTTGATCCAGACTCTTCGGAAGACAAGAGACACGCCATATTTATTTGCATGTTTCTTTTTTACTGTAATCGTTCTTTTTATCCTCGCGCTCTGGTTTCGACGGAGTTTGCGATATTTGTTTAGGAAAAGACATTTTTAGTAAGTTAAAAATTTTGGAAATTCTCGCCCTTCAGTGAAACCTGCATTAATTAAGTTAGTTTAAATTAAGAGTTATAGTAAGATTACACCCTGTGAAAAGCAGAGACCAGCTGTGTTCTGATTTATTTCTTCCTATGTTCTGTAAAACAATTTTGTATTCAACGGTTACCTCTATTAGATGGACGCGGGCACTGAAACCCCAAAATTATCAAAACAAGGGGACGTACCAAGAAGTTTTACTATAAATCTCATAATTATTAAGGAAACTGTTGAGTTTTAACACTGCGTTCAGTTCACGTTATTGAGTGTTACACGACCCATAATAATGTATCGATAAGCCATTTTTTAGCACATACTACACGAGCACATTGCACTTTGAAAATTTGTTTTCGACCCGGCATATTTCTAATTTGTAACATAATTTCATTCTAGCAAACCGTCATAGGCCTCCCTTCGCCTTTTTACACGATCAGTGTCGAAGAGAAGTGGGAAGATTTGTTCGTTATCGTTTAAACTTATTACACTGGTACTATGACTCAGCTGAATCTATAGCTTAAGGGGGCTCGTGGAAGGTTTCTCTATACTTTCTGAGAGCGGAGCCAAATGATTGAGACGTTACAGCCTTTGTGTTTAAGGAAGAAGACCCATTTTTTGAATTTTTATAGCACAAATCAGATAAAGAGCGAGAAAATAAAACGCAAGAAATGGTTCCTTCTTTGTATGAGTCGTGATCTGTCTCCGAATCCGTCCCTCTCCGAGTTAATGGGTCCATTACATCACGTGACTTATCACATGATCGTTTTCGCGCCATTTCCAATAGTCGTGTTATCATGTCAAAAGCTCAGCCGCACTGAACATTGTGTGTAGACATTCTGCCCAGCTTCTCTTATATATTTACTTCAATTCGTGGTGGCAATATGTCTTTCTTCGAGGAAAGTGACTATGAAAAGAAACGAAATATTGCAATTGCAACAAACCAGGAGATGTTCGCCAGCCTTTTTCCTGAAGGAGTTCGATCTTTGTACCCTCCACCACTAACTCCTTTGCAGCCTTCGATCAAGAAGAACAATGTGGAGCGTAGACAATCCAAAGTTCCATTACCTAGAAGACGACTTCCTAAACGTCAGTGTAGATCCTTCGTCGGAAAATATGACTCAGAGAAAGGTGACGACGAAGAAGACATAGAGGTAGAAGATGTTCGCTCTCCAAACACTCTTAGAATTAAGTTGTGGCCTTCGCGCAAGTCCAAGTTGCCGAGTTCATCTGGAAGCGAGGATTCAGACAGTTCACCGAAGCGAAAGCGACCGGCTCCAAAACGACCACCCATGCTTCCTGTCGAAATTACCGAAGACGATTTAATTCTGGTGGCAGAACGTGTGTGTGACAAAAATTATGATCAGACGAATGGAACCTCGTGTCATCAGTGCCGTCAAAAAACGGACGATTTAAAGACAGTATGTCGTAGCTCGAGTTGTATTGGAATACGTGGGCAATTCTGCGGACCTTGCCTCAAGAATCGGTACGGGGAAGACGCTAAGAAAGCACTGATGGATCTTAAGTGGCAGTGCCCTCCGTGTCGCGGAATTTGCAACTGTAGCTTTTGTATGAAGAAACGAGGTCGAAGATGCACTGGTATCATGATCCATCTAGCCAGAGAGCGCGGATTCAAAGATGTGAAGTCCTTCCTAGGTGATTGACATTGACTAAGCGATTAACTTAAATATTCAGATTAGCTATTTTTCGTTTTACAGTGAAATTTTTGTCTGGAAGATTCCTTTCTACTTTTAACTGAACTAATTGCTACAAATTTCGTTTGCATCGAATTTATTTTCTGAGAAATTGGAGGCTAAGAATTAAAATTATTAGTGTGTAAATCAATCTCCCTGGATGATACGCTCGATATTTCTGCGAGAACTTACCAGTACTATTCATTTTTAACTATGATATATTTTATATACGATATAGCAAACTTGATGTTTTAATTTACATTTATCTACACATTGGACATAGCAGTATAAAGTCAAGAATTGCTTGTGTTGGAAATTATTCTTACCCAGTTTACGAAGTGAATACATAGCCATTGTTAACTGTAAGACTAGATGTCTAGTGCATGGTTAAAGTACGTTTCTTAGTTTTATGGCTATTGCATATAACTGTGCCAAAGGGGCACTTGAGTGTGCACTTGTTGTGTTTGTAGACTTCTCTCATTCTTAACAAAAACAAATAGAAGCTCACTGGCCTTTATTGATTGTAATTTGAAATTTAGGAAATGGTTAGATCACTCAGGTTGTCATTAAACTTGCAAAGGAATGTTTTGTCTGTTGTGGTGTTAATGGCTAAACCCTCCAGACCTCCTCTTGTCAAGGGCACTAAAATGATTAGATAAGGCTTACAATGGAGAAAGTGTACTCTTGAGACACACCAAAGATAATGGTGTAAAACTAGCCAAATGTTGAAGTCAGTTAGGAGGTTGTGATGCTCCTTAAATCCAGAGCCATTTTTGAAAGTAATGTGTGTTTTTAAGAACTGATATAATTGAGTGAAAAATAAGCCCTGCTTTGGGGATGGTGTTTCTAAGGTTATTCTGAGAGACCTTCGAGATCTATCCCAAGCTAAATGTGTGATGGCAGGATTTCCTTCTGGGGAATGTACAGAACTGCTGCATGTGCTGGAATGTAATTTTTGGTGTAAGAGATTTGGAATTCAGGGAAACCTGATCTAGATATTTATTTGCAGATATTTTTTTGGCAAAATTCTTGTAATTCAGGTTACAAGCATAAAAGAACAGTAAAAAAAGTTAAAAAGTTACCAATTTATACCTTGTATTACAGTTAATGAACAATTAATTTTTCAATAAAGAAGTTCAGTTGTTGAGTCTGGCAGGAGGAGAAAACCTAGTACAAAATCTTTAGAGGTTGGTTTCTCTGTTTTAGCATGAGATTCCTTCTTAATTCACTCACTATTGGATGTTTCATATATTTTGATAAGAGAAATTATAGTTTAAAGCAACCCTCCAGTATTAGTACTAATTACTATTTTATCAAGCACCAATGATGAAGTGAAATGTGAAGAAATGAGAGAGAAACTTCTATGTCAAGGTGAGATGTTCCTGAAAACAGTTTGATTATGAAAACCTAATGAGTTTGAAGAATGACTTCCCTGCCATCCATGTCAATGTTGACTTGTGTTTTGTGATTTCAACAGGCATATAACTCAACGATAGCAGCTAATTGTGATTCACAATTAAAACGGTCATCTATATTAATGCACACTTGCTATACACATGCATTTATGTACAGAACAAGTGCTTATGAGATATCTCCAAAATTAAGGATACTTGCACTGAGAGTTTAACCCCAGTTGCTGTTGCTTTGCAAGAGTAAATGAAGAAACAAAAACTCCCAGTGCCAGGCCTTTGACAAAAAATTAGTCTCATCCCAACACAGAATTACTTTTCACAAAGCTTTAGGATAATTAATCTACTTGCTCATATCATCAATCATTCAACTGTTCATTGGAGCTTTAGTGCAATTAGTCTCCCTTGCAGCTGTTGCTGGTGCTTGTCTCTAAATGTCTCCTTTCCTTCGCCCACAACTGTTGTAGAGAAGGAACCTGGAATGATACTTTCAAGCTAGATAATAAAACAGAGTGAAATTAATTTAAGTAACATAGTATACAACAACTCCTTTCGAAGGAGTATAACTGTGATAAAAATACAACCTGATTTTACTGGTAACCTCAGTATTTCCATTGGTGTTTTCTATTCATAATTTGACATAAATTCTTATAATTTAGAGGCTCAAAATTTAATGATTGATAGTTCATTTGCACTCCTTTCACAGGTGGTAACATCAACTCTGAGTTTTCATGACTGTTGTCAGTCTTCATTTGTCACATAATTTTATGATCAAGGATTGAGTGATAAGTCAAAGGACATCAAGAAAAGTTTCACATTCACAGGAGGGTTGGGCAGACTTGGGCATAAACATATATAAACAGAAGAGGAAAAGAAAAAGTTAATTTTTGTGCAGGCTGTTTACAAATTCTGACATATGCAAATCCCTGTCAAGAATATAGAAGTAAATCCTAAAAATCACTACATTTCACATTTCAAGCGACTTTCAAAAGACCATAAAAAATATGAAAGCCACTCTACTAATCCCAACTGGAGTTACTTAGCTTTTCACTTTTCTGGAAAAACAGATATATTTTTTGTCATAAAACAAGTTACAAAACGTAAATATCGTTCCTCTTGATGCCCTTCCCAGTGTCACCGATGCCTTTCCTGATGCCTCCGTTGGTTAATATATCGTTACAGTCAAAGCTGTATGAACAAAGAATTATAATTGTGGGAAATTGTAGCAAATGCTGTTGGAAAAATCATGCGTGTTTCATTTTAGTCATTTTGAACTGAACAAAGAATTAAAAAAAATTTAGTCATATCAAGATTTCTCTTGCACCCTTCCTAAAACTGGAAATGTTAGATGCCTGACGTATTGATAATGGTAATTTATTCCACATATCCACAGTCCTATTAAAAAGACTGTTTTTAAAAGTAGTAGTTCTAGCATAGAACTTATTTTGTCAACATGGGCATAACAGGACAACTTGTGACTGATAAATAGGCCAAGGTCAGAAAATTCAGAAGTTCCCCTCGGATGTGATTGTCTATTCGTGAGTCAGAATGAAGTATTATACATGGTGTTTCACCGCTGACCGCTCACATCTCAGACGATTTTTCTTTCCGACTTGTCGTCCGTGATGTAGTAACTTACTCTCGCTAAATTTGATCAGTACCTTATTGCACACGTCGATGTTTTTTACCATCTTTGTTGTGTATCGCAGACGAGTGGCAGAAACATTCCTCTGAAGGAGCGTGCCTTTCGTGATCCTCTACCGTTTCAGAGATCCTTTAGCAGATAATGAGTACAAGAGCTACATCAACAGCTTTTTCAGACTTGGTTCTGGCAGGTTGTTCACTGTATGCAGCGTTGAATGTCCGCGGGGTGTCTGGTTCTGCGGCATTGGGTATGGTTTGTGTTGCAATAGCTGCCTCTCTCGGAGTTCTAAGGTTTGGGGTTGTCTTCCCGAACATTCAGTCAAAAGTTATTCAATTGCATAAACTTTTAACATGGATTGCAGCAGTTTTAGGTAGGATTTCTTCCACAAGTTGTAATGAGTTACAAAACTCAATAATTTTAAGAGTAACCCTCTGCACTTTCCCACGAGAGTACGTGACATGAAACGCATTACATAGTGAAGGATTTCATTTGTAGTAATCCTTTGTGGAGCTCATTTATGATTTGTACTTACAAAATAAATAGTTCTCGTATAATTATCTTTTTATCTTTAGTTTACCATTTGAAGTGTTACATGAGGTATCAGAGAATTTATTGATTCCGCACCAGGGTTTAAATGTAAACGGGGAAGGGAGAAATGAGGCCGTAGGAGGGGGGTGGGGGAAGTTTAGTTCGGAGGCTTATGTAAAAAAAGCATCAAATGCCTTTTGGTTACTGATTTTGATGTGAAAGTTCTTTTGATCAAATCCTAGTGCACATCCCTTCTGACAGGGTTTCGGTCGGTAGGGACAAGCACTTTCCGCTGCATTGCTCATCTGCACAAGTAGATAGTCTGAAACAGGCTAGGATCCACATCACTTTAATCTCTTCCTGATTGTACTGCAAGCAAGGGTTACAAGCATGTAAGAAAATAAGTTGAAAAAACACTGACTGAACCTTTCAGCCCCCTCATGTTGGATAAAGTAACGTCCATTTTTCACAATTATTTTTCCCTGCTGATGTTGCTCAGAGTTTACATTAGTGACATAAACAGAAACAACCTTGTAGTTTTATCAAGCATCCTAACCAACATAATATTGCAAAACACAAAATGCTTTCATGGGGAATTTCTCAACTTGAGCTTGCAGACTATTCTTTTAAACTTTAAAATCTGAAGAAACAAATTGTAATGCAACTTTGTTTCCTGCTTTATAGGTATTCCTCTTATTGGAGCAGGATTTTGTTTTCATCACCACAAACCTGCTAATGCTAAGTGCCATCTGGTGAGTTCTGTCATTGCTCTCGTCATCTCCTTAGTCCACAATCCAATGGAAGAGATGTTGACCAAGATAGTTAGTACCCTAGCAGTGTTGGGAATAATTTTTGTCACATTCATGAGTTCAAACTTCTATGCAACTGTTGGAGGTCTTGCTTATGGATTAGCAAGTGCAGTTGAGTCCCTCAGTTTTCTTGGTTTACCTGGTGTTGACTGGTTTCATTACATATTGGCTGGTGGAAATCTCCTTTTGATGTATGGTTTTATCAAATAGAACCATGATTTGAAAAAAAAAAAAATTCAAGAACAAAAAAAAAAAAACTTGGGCAACAAAGCCAAGGCATTTGAGCCTGTGCCAATGAAGCTTCAAGAGTGAGAGGAGACAGGTTTTGTCATTTCCAGTTCAAGAGAACAACAGAGCAACCAATAATGGCAAGGATATCAACCAGTGATGCCCTATTCTCACAACTGACATGTTTTGTACAGCACCAAAGTCTGTTTGCTGATAAAACAGTCTAAGATGAGAGGGACTACTCTTAATCAGCTGGAACCAGTTGTCAGTATGAATTAATTAGGGAGCCTCTTACATGTTAGCAACATTAATATATGAAACAAGCTCAGTGGCTCCCATCTGTGTTATTCCTCCGAGATCAATACTTTAAAATTCTTCTCTAAACAATGTCTTAAAACTGTTTCTTTTGGTGGATCAGAGTGTATTTTAATGCTGGAGAATTAAGACATGGTACAATTAATTGCTTTTTTAACCTAGTGATTGTGAATTCATTAACAAAAGTAAAATTAACTCAAAGTAAACTCTTACTCAGGTTTATGACATTTCATTGACTACCCTGACTGTGTTTCTTTTTTTAATTTGAATGACCACAGGAAAATCTATGGATGTCAGACACCCCAGCAATCCTGTAACAAATCAATCCAATTGATGTAACATCATGTAGTTGTTAAAGTTCTCATCTTCAGTAATTATTGAATAAAAGAAGTAATTAAAGAAAGCAAGGAAGAGGTCACTGAGCATCAGACACAAAATTAAGCCCAATTCAAGTCTCTACAAATCTATCAGCAGTATAATTTGTTGAGTTTACCTCACAACACACTCACTTGGGCATGGATTGCACTTGAGATAAGTTTATAACTCCTTTAGGAAAAGACACCACGATTACAAACAAAAACGTTTTAGTCAAATAAGTTGGGTCACACTAGTGCGAGGTAACTTTCACTGTTTTGGCACATGGAGAACTGAAGAAAACGAAAACAATTTTTTGTTTTCTTCAGTTCTCCAAAAAATGCTGAGCACAAGTAATTGAACCATCTGACTGAATTTCACTTCAAAAGTATTTTAAAACAGTGATTGCAGCACATGGGCAGTCTTGTCCATGTTGGCATGTATATTGCAGTTTTATGGCATAGAGTATGGATACCAGAAAACACTGATTGGAGAGCAGTAAGGAGGTAAACTAAACCAAATCACGTTGCACAAGGGAAATGTTTCACAAATAGAAAATGCAAAATATCTCCACACTATTGCCTGAAAATGACATGCACACTGCACCTTGCAGGGCAATAAAATTATCCTAAAAAACAAGGCAAACTTTTGCTTGTAGATAAAGGTTTGTTTTCTGAGAAACTCAAAGGAATGCACAGGGTATTTTGACCAGTGTCAACTTAAAGTAGAAACTTAAGTAACATAGAATCAAAAATGTAGATGCAACAGGTAAACCCTCAAATAAATAAACATTCAATGTGACCTTTCATTGCTTGCATGTAAATACACTTTATTTTATGCCAAAACTCACTTGCTGCTATTAATGACTTCTGCTAATCTTTGTTGAATTCTTTTCCGGCCCAGTCCTGTAGTTTTCTAAGTTATGGTTACCACTATTTACATACAGTTTGGGTATTCACAATAGATAGGTCTCTATCATTTGGTCTAAAATATTAAATTATACCATTTAACAACATTATGGACACTGGTTTACCGAACCCAACCAGAGTAACAGTTAAGATGAAATCTGAAAATATATTTTGCTGTCTTTCACTTTTAAAAGTATATTTACCTCAAAAGTCATAAATTAATTTGTCTGATCACGGTAGTAGACTGTAGAGAGAAAACATTAGAAAAAGGATTGGCAGCAAAAAGATACTATTCTTTCCAACTAACCTTTGCTGCCAATGAGAGATAGACAACTGGTTAACAGTACTGACATTTAACTCAAGCAAACCGGCTGCTTAAATAGTGAACAAATGTTGCCTTGAAGTACAATTCATTTTTGCTCAAATTGGTTTCTTGTAAGAAGACCATGTTTTCTTAATAATTAGAGTGATTTTCAAGAGCTCTCTTTTATATCTGTGGGAAAATAATATACTACTCAACAGAATCACGATGGTACACATAAGTCTGAAGAGATGCAAATTATACTTAAAAGATAAATACCAAATTAACATGAGCATCACACAAATACTGGTTACAGTACGTTGATAAATTAAGATACAGATGTTAAACTAATCTATGTTCACTGCATCTTCTTAGCAAAATTATTTCTAATTTTCTGAGCTTGGGATTTGAAAGATAATCATTCTCAACTTTATTGTATTTGCATCCAGCATTCTGTTGCATTCCATTGGGTCCAAAAGTACAAGATCATGATGACTGCTTTCCTGCAAATCACTCGTGAATTCTTGTTGATGAACTTCAGGTTTGATAAGCAAGTCACTGAATGGGCTTCGTAACATTAGGAATTTCACATTGAGGTTGACTTTGCCTTTCTGTACAAGTTGATAGGTCAAGACCCTCTGTACACTTTTCTCATTTCCAACCACAGTTGCTTTCACCACCCACTGTTGACCCAGAGCATTGAATCTACTGCTTTCATAACAGAGTTGTGGGATAAAGTCATCTGAACGGTATGGCTTGAGCTGTAAGTCTACAGATGTTAGGAAGATGGTTAACCTGTATTGGTTAGTAGGAATGCATGCAGTGCTTAAAACAAAGTGCTGTGCAAATGAAGTTGTTTGTCTCAACAATAACTCTCTTAGTATGTTCCAGGGGTCACAGTGTTAATTAAGTACTGTGAAAAATGTTAGTCTCACCATGGATTGATACAAACCGAGCCTGAAAAATGGCCAACAGTCAACACAATCAGTAAAGAATATGACTAAATTTAAAAAAGCAAACACACAAACCAAGGCATTGCATTTATTATTATAGTCACTACGATTAGAGCTTGATCAACTGCAACTAACAGGTTGATTAATCAAAGAAGAAGAAAAGAAACTAACAAACCTAATAATGGAAACAAAGAGTTGTTAACAAAGAACTGCTTGTGCATAATATTGTCACAAAGCAAACATTGAGAACAAATCTTAAAAATCCCTACAACAATATCAAAGGAGCAATAATATTAACCATTTATAGCAATCTTTTCAAAGGACAGCAAGTTGAGAATGTTTTGGAAGAGATCCTGCTCATCTTTATGATTCCTATCTATGACTTCTAGTGACTCCATCAGCTGCATTCCAGTCATGTTGGGGTGATCACACTTATCCTCATGATCCCTGAGCTTGTGAAATGGACCCTCCCACAGGCAACCTATCCTTTTAAACTTGCAACACACAGGCCTGAAAAAGCATAAGACACTAATCAAAGCTGAAATGCAAAACATCCAGTTTTGATATTTGGTAAAAGCACAAAACAGACAGCCTTAACAAAGAGAATTGCTGAAAGACATAACGATATAAACATTAGTATGGTGCATGTTGCTGAAGGAAGATTTCCCACCTGCCGAGAGAAAGCAAAAGAAAGTCAATGTAGAAACATCCAAATGTTTTGATGAAGTCCCCTTAGTTACTTTTGAATCAAATTCCATGAAATCTGTCTTTTGGGATTATTTGATCTTGATTGGGCCTCTTAGCTGTTCTATGACTGTTGTGGCCAAATATATCTTAGTTTGCCCCTAAACTGACTCAAGTTCTGAATCTGCACATTTACAAAATTCAAAGATTTTGAAATTTAAGTTTGAGAGGGTGAATTGTGAAATGTTTCAAATTTGTGTCACATTACCTGTGATTGGTCAAAACACAAACTCTAATTCTTTTGTTTTAACTCAAGAAGTGTTTGCGTAAAAAATATTGGCTAAATACTCTCAGCTGTTCCAGGCATTCAGTTGGCAAAGCAAAGCGCAATAGCAAACAGCACAAAAGTAGCATAAGACCAAAGAAAAATCAGGGAGGTTTGGGTTGGGTTTGTTGACCAACCTGTCTCAAAGCTCACATCAGCTTAAGTAACTATTTTGCATTATTTTACAGACTGAATGCCTTCACAGACTATCTCTGCTTAAGTTATTGCACCATGGATATATACTTATGCCTGAACATAAATTCTCCAGCCAGTGTATCCAGACACTAATTTGTGTGCCTATTCACATTGCAGTTAGTTTAAACCCTGTGCTTTATTAGTGGTAAAACATCCCTTGAAGCTTGACAATGGTGATCTTACTTATTTTGATGAGTTACCTTACTATTGCCACTAAGTAAATAATTTACTGAAATTCCTTCCATGTTCTGAATCTCATTTCCCTAAAGTTATATTCACCTAAACAAAAATATTTTGTGGTAACTAAAAGTTTAGCCATAACCCTTGTAACCAGGAAAATTACATTTGGTGACCGTACATACTGTTATCAAATGACCACATTAAAATATGAGCACTGGGTGGATAGCTTAACATCTGTAACCACTTTTTAAAGACCAGTTCCTCCCCAGGTAGTGGTATGAACATACTGAGAATTACCAATCAAGAAAACAAAGCACTTATGCCCAGATGTTTACCATAAGTTCTGACCATTTATCCCTCCTTTCCCACCCCCAAGAAAAAGATCTCATATTGTTTTTCATTTGGACCTAGCAGTATTCCAGTAATAGGTAGATCTCCCTGTACCCTGCCCCAAAGAAAAAAAAAATTAAATGTTACACTCAGTGCTCACTATGGCTGGTAGACAGATAAGGAAAAGAAACTACCCCTATTATGTGAGCTTCCATCAACGAGTTTTTGTGAACCATAAGACCCCCACTCCTACACAGAAAAATGCCCCCACCCATATTAGCCCCCTGCTTTTGAGCCCTGGTAATTGACAGCCCCCAGGGGGACCTACTAATGCACTTGTGATAAGTTTGCACATTTCCAAGTACAAAATGTACAGAAATATATTATTTTACAGTTTAACAGCAGGCGTATATAGAACAACTTTACAAGCTAACAAGTTGTGAGCACAAGGACTTATGCACAATTTAAACACAATCAATGTAGAAAATGCATAATTAATATTATCCTTACGGTTATTTTAACATCTCTACTCACGAACACATCAACACAAATATGCAAAATGTTAAAGTAGGATTCTTGTGGCGCTTCACTTCTTGAATCTTTAAAAGTCACATCATATGCTGGTTTTATTGGTTCTGAAAATTTCATTCTAGTGACAGCTAATTTCAGAGACACACTAAAATTAAGAGATTATATTGCTTTTCAGTCAAACTCTGTAACACTGCAAATTCATGTATACAATATCGACATTGGTATGAGGTTTTCCAACTTGTTTGGAACATCTCTCTTAGTGATTCAAGTAGTCAAAGCCATAAGAAAGACCAAAGTTTCCCAGCCAGAATTTAATGGAAATATATTGTATGTTTCCATTAGTAAGGTTAGAAATGTTACACAATGATGTAAGTAAAAAGGACAAAAGGTTGCTGATATGTGTGGGTAGAATAGGAGGCATGATTCATCAGTATGTCAGTTTCCAAAGTCCGTTTTTTATTTACTAGGAGTAGCCTGACTGTCCAATTGAAAGGACACTGTCCAATCATTAATGGGGTCAGTCTGTTTTTTGAGAGAAAAGAGTTTGCTTTCATAGTGGCAGGTTTTTCAATGTGAAGAAAGCTTAAAGTGTTCTTTTTAGTTTCTTATGTTCCCAAAGAAACCATTGTTAGCTCCATCTTTATTTGCCACCACCTATTGTGGGCTCTCCATCCTGTCAAAACACTTAAACAGTTGATTAATATCCAGATCAATGGAGTATTTCATTTCGACAACTTTTCTTCTGCTTTGTGAATCTTTTGGCTCATTGGTGTTCCTGTGAACAATGCCAATCTCTATCTGGTGCATGAACCATGTGACAGATCATGATGAATTTGGATGATAAAGTTATCCACAATTCAATTAACCAGTGCCAGCCAAATCACAATGCAGCTGATAACTTGTTACAAAACAAACTACACCATGCCAAAAACAATTTGTGCAATTTTGAAGGATTTCTGTTTTCTCCAAAGAGGGCTGGGAGCCAGCTATCAGGTATTCATGGTAGTGTTCTTTTCCCCGTTCTTCCCTTCTCTTTGATAACATAATGTTATTTATATCACAAAGAGTAGTCCATTTGTCGTGGGGAAAGGCAATTGACAGGTAGGTGTTCTTGTCTGTCTCATAATATGGAAACTTCTGTCCCATCAGGTTTGTGACCATTTAACTACACCTTACTAGTCTTCTAGCAATGAGGTTGATCAGATGTCACCTTATGAAGATATGAGTTCTGCCATGATTGGTTTTATTTTCTACAGTTGTGATTAATGCATTGTGAGAATGTGTTCTCTCTGCAGGCTACTGTCTTAATGCTCTCTTGCTTTGTTTCTTGTTTGTGGGAATTTGATGATATGCTTCTGAAATTTCTATCCCACTGACCCCACTAATGATGCAAGGGTGAATTTTCATGTGAATTACCTCCTTGCTTTCCCCTGCCTTTGTAACAATAAGGGTCATGTTCAATGAATGTAACCTTAACCTTATTCTTAAGTGGGTGGAAGTCTACAGTTGTAGAACTTTACAGGAGAGCCCTAATACAGTAAACCTCTGAAGGAACATATTGTCAATTAAACACACCAATCACAGCTGTTAAAAACTGATCAATCGCAGCAGAGCATGATGCCATACAGGGTCATACCATAATGCAATGCAAGTCGATTGCACCACAATCAAATTGTTTAATTCTCATCTTATAGATTGACAACACTGATGATAAGATCCACTTTGGAATTTCAAATGAAACAAAGTCACCAAAAAAGTTTGGATAATACATTACCCATACTGACATTAAGGCCTTGATGAATAAATAAAGCATATCCCGCTAAATTTAAAGGGCAAAACACTGAGTCATCATTTCAACTATTTTATTTCATACTTTCAATCAAATATTGTTAATGAATCATTAACACTGAATCAATATTTATACATACCAAAGCAATCAATACACCACTAACTATCTAGGTTTCTAGTTATAGTGCTCATCTTAAGTCCAAAAATCATTTAATGTCTATATGAATAACCATGCAATAGCCATTCTCTCTATTGCTCAAAATTATGAAATGTTAATTTACAACAGATTATTACATTTTTTGCAGTATGATATCAAGATAACTAGTGATACTACAAAAACACCTAGCTTACTTCTTTGAAAGTTGTAAAATTGAAATTAAGAATATGTTCCACAGCACTTATTGTTTGCAGAATGTGCGCTGGATGGAGAGGGAAATACCAAGCAAATGGAAGAGAAGCTTTGCCTGTATTCAAAATATTGAGGCTTCACACATAAATCCCTTCCAACCCACATGCCTTTACACAATAAGAGATCAAAGCAAACAAAGTATCGTTTTCACTACTTTATTTCACCACACATAACTTAAAATCATAAAATATTAAGGGCTGCAAAAGATGAAGAAATCAACAACAGTAAAGCAATAATTCAACCCAAAGAAACATTTTAATATATTGAAGAGCCAATACTGATACAAATACAAAGTTCACTTACCTGTTTAAACATTCCTTCTCCTCATGGTTTTTCAAATGGCTCCGTGGCAGTTCATGATTGCAGTATGGGCATTCTGCAGGAAGTTCCGAGATAGCTTTCTCAACTGCTAAGTTACGTGAACAGATATTGCGATTGATCTCTGTTCGACAATTGGGACATGATGACTGCTCATTTTTCAATCGGCTATCAGCCAAGAGATGTGTGAAGCATGAGGCACACATCAGGTGTCCATTTCGGCACTGAATCAAAAATCAAACTCAAGTTAATAAAAACAGAACAGGGTGTATTTTGCACACCTTCCATAAGATAATTTATTCTTATATTATGACAATAAAGCTGGAGAATGCCACTCCATAAAAGTGTCTGTAATTTAGAGTGCAGCATTAAATGATCATGAATTTCTGACCCACTCCACCTTTAAAACCATAATTTATCCTGGGTAATAATTAAAATTTAATTAATAGTTTCAGGGATGACCCACAAAATTCACTGGTACACAAAAGTGCTAATGGTGTTTTTAACCACAAATAGTTCTAAAATCAGAAAAAGGGATTGTCAGAAGAACTCGATTTTCCTTGCGGCAGTTAAAGTAAACAAGAAGTTTTCACCACCAAGTATTATAACCAAAGTCACATCGAATAAACTTTCTTCAGCTGACATTGGTGTAGACTGATTGAAATGTTTGCACCAGAGGAGACAATTCCTTTCTGATGAAAATAACAAGTTTTGTTGGGGACCGTAAGTGGCCACGAAACTAATATAATCTATAAAGAGTGATAAAAGAAGTAAAACCTTCACCATGGGAATTAAATTTTCAACGCCTCAAGAAATCGATTCTTCACATAAATAATTGAGTATGACAGAATCTTAATGAAGCGTTGGTACGTACTACATCGATTTCTTCAGAGACAACGTATTCTCATATTATATAAATCTATCACCAATGAAACAAATAACAATGACACATAAACGTAGAGCTAACAAAATAAGCTTCCTAACAGACGCGATCGACACAAAATTCTCTAGAAAAAACTACAAGTCAAACGATGGTATGGTTGTTGCGTAGTGCAAATCGAAAACGTAACGTAACCACTGTCCGTAATTTCGGCAAGGATCGCAACACACTTTGACCTTTGAGTATAAAACTAACCTTATTGACAAGCACGGCTGTGCAAAATAAAGAAAAAAATAGATTATCTTTACAATACAAAACCTACTATGGGGTGTATCGTTGACACAGTTATTGGATAGGAGATAATAACAAAGCGTAAAGGCAATGCAGGTATTAAACGATGCAACCAGAATTGACATCACCGAAATGAATTATATTTTGAATCCTAAAAGACCAGATTATTGAAGTTAGCAATAGTTACCATTGGACCAAACAGCTTGAGATTTCATCCCTACATTTAATTAATTTTATTCCTACCTGAAAAACCGATTTGGTGGGTAAATCAAGGCAAACTGTACAGCTTAGGATGTCGTTTAAACGAGCCTCCAATTTTACAAGCCGATCGCTTTTTCTGTCGTCCCTTAATTTTGCTTTCTTTAACGGAGGTTCGATGTTTTCTTTTTCAGATGTATCTTCCACCTGTATGGAGCCTTCGGCTTCTTCCTCTGACATACTCCCCTTTTTGATACAAAATCCGACGCCCTTAAAAACACCGCTAAAATCAACCGATCGATTTGTTTTGGTATGATCACTTGATGAGATGATGTAATGTTTACTTCTCTGCGCCTGCGTCACAATCACATGGAACAAAGTTCAATCGTTCCATTTAAGGTAAATACTCGTCACGAGACTTTCACGCGCAATTTGTAAACCCTCATGAGGAATGAGATGCACACTAAGCATGAAGAAATTAATGGAGAAGAAAAAATTGGTTATGTTTGACCAGTAGTATAGTACTTTGCATCACTTTCAATTATCAGTGATGGGGAAATAAAGTATCCTCCAGAAATCATACACTTTTTATCTTCACTTATGAACAAGTTATGACATTGCCAGCATTTTGATACTCAATAGTGTAAGCATAACCATTCAAAGTAATGTTCAGTCTGGAGGAAAGTTAGTGCTACAAGCAGTGATTTTGAATCTTGCTGAGCAGCCAAGCCTTTTACCTACTATCAAAGTCTTATCCTTCCTTGGAGCCGTTCAAAAGGCATTTTCACAGTGAATATTAATCTCTATTAATTAATATGATTCTAGACATTGATTACTAAGAGGTCTGTACTGGGTACAGGCAGGGTACATAATAGTATTTTCCCTTTTCTTTAAGATTGAGTAATTTGTTCAGCATATAAGTCATAAGACTTGGGTAGAGCCAATGGCTATTCACCATGCTAATGCATTTTAATTGCGAAATTACTTTAGTATTACTGCTTAGGTGTCTGCGCATGTGTCATTAGTATTATTTCTAGCTTTAACTTTGTTGGACTAACTTTTTGGGGATTTTCAAAAAGCACAAAAACTACTCAAAAAAAAATGTTGAACTGGATTGGATTTTGTTTCATCTTATTTAGGTTTTACCCCAAACTTGTGATCATATACCCTAAACTGTCATGATAATGAAAACTGGAAGCAAGAAGGATCAAAACTTGGAAATCTTGACCTAGAAAAATGAGCATCCCCCTTAAATTTTAATTGATGATTGTTTTCAGGACAAAAAGTGAGAAGAATGGACTACTAATTATCTGTGAGCTCTTAATTAACATCACCTCACTTTGTTTCTCACTGTCAGCTGGAAGTAGGGTCATGATGTCACAAATTTGTTGAGGGAATGATTATATGAAGGAGCAAAGGTGCACTTAAAGGAGAAAATAAAAATAATGGCATCTCAAATATTTTGACCATTCATAATCTCTAAGTACCATAGGGAGTAATTTGGGGCAAACTTTTTTCTTTTTCTTATTTAATTTTTGTTTTACTTCATAGTGAGGAAAAGGGAAAAAAAGGAAATGCCCACTTCTCATGAAAGGGAAATGGGGAAAGGAAAAGGAAAAGATATGATCATAGGGTTCTCAGAGAGATAATCTGGAGGTAACAGCAACAAAAAAGCCACTATGTGCATCGTTTTATTCCATTACCAGATTAGAGTTGAAAAAAATATAACACAAAGGTTACAAAAACAGCATGTATTTTACATTTTTATCACACTGAAAAGAAGGAAAACTATGATAGAGTACAATTAAGACTGCTTCCCAAAAAACATTGAACAAAACATATTGTCTAATTACTAAACTGATGATTATTGTTATTCTACTATTACAACAGCCCTCCTCTTAAGGCCAGTACAAGATGAAGAACAGATCCACCCTGGATCTTGTAATCTGCTGCAGTTTTGTCATCATTCCTTCACAAAAAGGTTTATAAATGTTAATATGGTTTTATCAACTACATTGATAAAGTAAATTGGCCACCATAAAGAGTTTCTAGGCTGATATTTCAAGCATTAGCCCCTCGTCAGAGCCAATAGAGGAATTGTGGGTTGTGTGTGTTTATATGCAGAAAATAGAGCTAAGGCTATTAGTGGGAACATGGTAACAAGAAAAACATGAATAAACTAGCTGAATGAAAAGTGTACATTGATACAAAGGGGATTAAGAGCACTGATTTGAAAGATAAATTTTTGTTCTACAGTTTTGTGGCTTTCTGAACTCCTTAGATGTAGGGGAAGGCCACAGACTGATATATGCTGCTTGGAATGATTAGAGGAATTAAAGTTTTTAGAGACTGGTTTGGAAGCATCATTGTCATTCTTCTATACATCCCAAAGATGTTCTCAGAATAGTCAATAAGATGCCTTCCTGTTTTACCAAGGTATATCTTTTACAAGTCATGCAAAACATGACATTGGCAGAGGTGCATGTGAAGCAATTATTAATCCTAATGCATCATTTGAGTCCCAGTATTTCTTGACATAATGAACCAAAGGACAAGTTTTACACTGTGGGAGAGCGCAGGTGAAAGTTCCAGGTTGGTCATTAGTTTGTATTGAACTCCTGACCAAAATGTTGTCTATGTTTTTGTCACATTTGAATGAGATTAGTGGAGGTTGTGAGAAGATAGTTCCAGTGTCTGAATCATTTCAGAGTAATTTAAAGTTTTTAAGGATGATAGATTTAAATGCATGGTTATGAGAGTGAAATCTGAGAATGAATGGAATACAATCAGTATTTTCCTTTTGTGATGTTTGTAATGCTGACTGTTGATCAATTTGTTGGGCAGGGTAGTGGCCCACTTGGATGGCAGAAACAGGATAGCCACATTTTTCCAAAAACTGGCGCATTACCTCTGATTTGTTAGAAAAATCAGAGTTGTCACTACATAAACAATGAAGTCTAAGAAACTAAGAAAAAGGAATAGAATTCTTGACATGTGATGGAATCAAAGATGAATACAACAAGTAACTATGTGAGCATGTAGGTTTGTAGTATGCACTAAGTGTATGGACCATTGCCTTCAGGTTTGGGGCAGTTGTATTGACTGAAAAATTTGTGTTTGATAAAACCTACAGAAAGATAAGTGGTAATTGGTTCCCATTCATAAATGTTAGCTGAGAGTGTGAAATAAAAAAAAAATAAAATAAAAAATAACAGACCCTGGTCCTTAACAAAACAAGGACATTTTTAGGAATCACTCAAATCTCCAGATTTGATTTCACTAGGCTGCTTAAATTACTGATGTAAAAGCCTTAGCTTCTAAATAGTGTTATCACCTTCAATAGTAAGTCAAATAATTCTGTGAAATACACTATTTTGCATTTAAATGTACAATTATGGTAATCTGAAAGTGGGCATATAGACACAACAATGCAAAAATAATACCATTGTATTATCAGAATTAATTATAAGCAATGATGGTTCTGCACGTATATCTGGGTACTTACATTTGCTTTCCACTAAATATTAACCTGGAAGAAACAAAATGACAAGGTTAGTATAACCAGAGGCCATGTAGCTATGAATAGGAAGAAAAACCTAGTAATGATGAAGCAAATATCTCCTTGGCTTTTGAGGGGAGATGATCTGACCTATTTGTGTCTTTCTATGGTCTACAATAAGTGAAAAAAATATTTCAAGTGTGACAAATATCACACACTGACAGTGTTAGCCTATTATCTCCCGAGTGACACAGTCCAGTTTGTTTGGATGTCCATTGAAATGCAGAGGCTAGTAATAAAGTAAATTCAGTCAATTTTGTGTTTAAAGGCTTGCATGTCCCTACCAAAACAAAAACTGTTAAATTTTTTAAAATTATTTTTAAAATCCAAACTTTTTAAGCTTAACAGTGATTTATAGTTTTCCATGGTTTTCTTTAAGATAGTGCATGAAGGACAATTTTTCTGAAAGACACCTTATTGTTCAGTAACCTTAAAGAAGATCTTGTATTGAAACAATACAACAGATGAATATAAGTGTCACAAGCCCATTAGCCTCCCTACTGATGCATTTCAATTACTCTCTATTCCCACAAAGCTCCTAAGAGTATTTCTATTACCCCTGGATTGAACATTAGTCCACTGCAGATTACCCCATACCCCAAGGCAGATTGAGATATCCCATTTACGGCCTTTGGTAGAGAGACACTGTGAGTGCAAAATGGCTCATTTTAAGAGCAAAACATATTGAGGGGGGCTATAAGTCAAACCCAGATCTTGTAATGCAGAGTGAAGCAACTTCATAAATTCCCCACTACCTCTCAATAAATTTGGGCAGAGTTCCTTGTAAAATCTAGAAAAGGTGTAAAGGTCTAGGCTGATTGCCACTCACAAAACCAATAGAATTTCATTTATTTTTAATACATTTTTTCATCAGTACTTCACCATGTATAACAGTCATTTAGACATATCCTCTTATGGCTGGGTCCAGTTTTTGAAAGGGCAGATGATGCTATCAAATGGATGAATTGCTACCCAGTGGATAAGTGTTAAAAAAAACCCATCCAACAGATAGAGATGTATCCAGTGGATAGTGTCATCTACCCTCCAAATAACTGGGGCCAGATCAAAAGTATGGTCAGCAAGAGGTTACTTGAAATTTGAAGGCAAGAGTAAGTGGCTCTAGACTATCAAAGGCTCAACTTATACCAGTCCTAGTTATTAAATGTGTGAATGAAGTTATTCTAAGACTTTTATCATGAAAAGTTGTGTTGTAATGGCAGGCACAATTTTGAGTGTTTGCTTTTCAGGTTTTTACTGTTACACAAAACTAGTGAACCATCATGGATAGAAAATCTTACCTTTGCTGTGGAGGAGGGATTCCTTCCTTTTCTTCAACTCTCTCTTTTATTCTTTCAACCTTAACAACAAAAGTAAAGTATGGGAGTTAAGAATTTTGGACAACTGCTTCTCTCTGCCTTCCCAATATAAGTTCAGACAGGACTTATTCTTACTTTCATTTATTGAGAATAAATAATTCACAAGTACACTGTGACATAACAAGGAGATCTCCAACTGGATAAATATAATAAATGCAAAAGCACAGTGTCACTGAAGAGACATGGGATGGTTGTTTATACCTTCCAATAATAAACACATTGCAAATTATTTATTTGAAGTAGACTATATTCTTCTTTATCTAGGTAGACCAAATCTTAGTTTGCTATTGCTAATGTTTTATCACCAGATACTTGTTACTGAAGTACATAAATTTCAATAAAAGTATTACACTTGTATATCAGAGGACCTTTGGTATTAGGGTTGTTCTTTAATATTTAGTTCTCTTATTTATAAAAACCCTGTGCCTGAGGCTACTAGCTGTACTTTAATATTCACCTTGTCTGTAGGCTCAATGTCAATCTCAATCTGGTAATTGAAATAAATAATGTCATTGTTTATGGTTTTTAAAAAATGTGAACCTAAAGTAATGAGAGAAGGTTTCCAAATTGTCTGTAAAAGCCATAAGTCGAAAAAATTGTTAGTGGCTGGACAATTATGCTGTAGAACAAAGGAAACTCATTTTTTCTGCACTGAGACCTGTCATGTTTTTACCATGCAAGGGGTGTTGTAGATGTTGTAGGTAACAATAATGAAAATTAGATTTCAAAGAAACTTAGGTGATCTGAACCTAATATTCATTTAACTGAAGGAGTATGGCAATGAGTAAGGATTATAATGTCTATTTTCTTATATCCCCTCTCAAAAAAAATGCACTTTTTATCAGGCGTTTAAGTCACAGATATGGACAATCTGACATTCACATGAACAAATGTTAATCTTACCTCTTTTCCTGTTAAAGTCTTCAGGAGAGAGGGAAAAAGGAAATACAGAGTTAAAAACAGAGGAAACTAATTATTAATCCTAAAGAATCGAAATGAAAATACCTTCACTTTGATAAGCATACTGAAATCAAATTTCTTTGGCGAGGAAAGAGTGAAATTTTCTTATTCTAACACTTTGAAATATTTGGGCTGCGAAAAACCTGGTAACTTGTCATCTGGAATGCCGCTGACAAGTCAAGTTCGCGGCCTCCCAGTTCATGTGTTCTCTTTGTTCTGGCAGCCATTTTCATCTGATTGTGTGAAAACACAGTCGGAGAATCCGTTTCCATCTTGCCAGAAGGAACGGTTTTTACAATAATCCATTATGTTCTCTTTACTACGGAAACTTCTCTTTCTTTTTTTTTTAATTTTACCGGCATCGCTAGTTCTGATTGGAAATGGTGAGTAAGCTAGTCTTCCGTGATTTTTACCTTTTATGTTGTAACTAAAGTATGTACGTTCTTTTAAAGCCCTCTTGTGTCCTGTGATGTGTTAGGCATTTGGAATGATTTTACCAACGCGGATAAAAGACAGTTTGAATGAGCTTTTGGAGGGTTATCTTCGGTCTTGAAAGTGTTTTACTGTAATTTCCGTTGTATTTCTCCTCGATTGCTACATTCTCTCTGTTCGTGAGGAATAGAACTGTTTTTTCCTTCGCGTTGGGCGAGTGATTTCCCTTATTTTGTCTGAGGACTTTTTATCAATTTATTTAAGTCTGTGTAGAGCAGTAGTTGGGTTGTTTTGACGGTATGGAGGGTTTGTTTCCTGAGTTATGCTCATGTGTTTTATTTTGGCGTCTTTGTATACGTGGCATTCAACCACTGGGTCTGAAATAGATGTATGTGTTATGGCCCGGGAAGACGAAGTTGAAAACGAACAAGAGGTCGCACAACCAACCGAAGCAGACGCTACAGAGGCTACAGTAGATGAGGAATATGTTGAAGAAGTTGTTGAAGATGCGGATGATGGAAAGGTCAAACTAAGATGTTATCATACTTCTGAAGCTCTTGACTTGAATTAACTTTTGATATTTGATGCTAGACCACGAAATTAACAGAGCAGAGCTTGATGCCTTAAGAAATAAATGAAATGTTAGATGCAATAATTTTTGGCTTGCATGTACTTTTTGATATCATCAAAAGTCACCATGTAATGCTGGACATTCTAAATTAACATCTTGACAAGTGAAATTCCATTAGTTGTCACTGATTTCTCTGGCCAATCCTATTTCTTATTGGTGTAGTGGAACTTTTGTCTTTGTTTGGATAATGCAATTTTAATTTACATTACATGTATGTTTGTCAAACAGGTGGATGCTGAAGATGAAGAAGAAGATGACAAGGAAGACAGTCCAGCTCCAGCAGACTCTGTAAGTTCTACATGTAATTTGTAATTTGCAAGTAAAATCAATGATAGAAACAATCAGGTTTGACTTAAAACCAACAGAGTACTGTGCAGTATTTATTCTAAAACACTTGTAAACTATAGTAGCGAGAGAATTTTATTTATTTCTTATTTCGTGTTTGTAAAGACTATCTTGAATGCAGCCATACGTTGTTTAAAGTTTTTTGCTTTTCACATGTGTGCAGTAATTTTGTGGTTGTACAGCTATGCATGTTAATTTACTTAATTTTTGGGCTTGATAACAAATGGTTGAAGATGTCATCAATTCATTATGCATCACAGGTTTTTCTATTCCTGTAGAAAACTGATGCAGAGTCTACTGAGGAAGAAGAGGAAAAGGAAGAAACTCTCAAGCCATCTCCTGATGCTGATACAGTTATTTTCTTCACCAAGCCTGGAAACCAAGGTATTTTGAATGTCGTCTTTGAAATGTTGTCCAGAGGTGAATTTGTTTTCATGCATAGTGCATGATGTAGTGTGATTGTTTCAGCTGGGATGGAATTTAGCAACCTCTCTTTTACTTTTTCATTCTGACTTCCATTCAGGTTGTCAAATTACATGCAACTTTCAAGGGCAACCCTTTTCATAGTTATTTCCATTCATTCAATCACAGTTTGCACCTGGCTGACATTCTAAACCTCTTTGATAATTTTTCATTGGTTCTCGTTTGTACGCATTGCAGTATTTCCAGCTGGGGAAGTAATCAAGTGTCTCATTGGCCTTGGTAATAATGGCAAGAATGATTTTATTGTGGAACATGCGGAAGCTTCTCTCAGGTAATTATTTTTTTTTTTTGTAGTAAATGGTTTTTGTACTGTTCTTGGCGGATAAAAATAAATTTCAATAAAGTTCCCCTTTACCAAGATATGTTTATGTTGAAATGTGCTCCCCACCTTTTTTGTTATATTGAAGCATTAACTAGTTTCTTGATGCGTTATTCGCAGGTATCCTCAAGATTACACCTATTACATCCAAAACGTAAGTATAGATTAGCATTATTTAATGTTTTTAAGTTTCTATGGTACAAACTAAATTCCCTTTTCAAAAGAAGCACCTATCTTTAGAATTTCTGGTGGAAGTTTATATGTTTATTTCCCTTGAAAAAGAAATTTTAAATTGAGGTTTGCTAATTTTTTCATTTATTTTCAAATTTCTGTAGTTCACTGGTTTCCAATATAACATTGTTGTACAACCAGGCAATCAGGTGGGTGTTGCTGAAAGAACAAAAATAAGATTGACATGTTCACATGAATACATTTGTTTAGGCCGGTCAAAAGTTTCTTTGCTTTTAAATTTGTGTTAGACATGGACATTTGCCTTATTGATCATTGCAAATCAATACTTGTAGTTTAGGGGGGTTCTTTACCATTCACAGTTAGTTTCAAATAGATATTAGAAAGAAGTTGCTAAAAATTGTGATTTTTTAATGTACACTATGAGAGGGGTTGCCCTTGAAAGTCATGGTCAACCATGGTCAATCGTCAATTTGTCTTTTTTTTGTCAGGCATCCTTTGAATATGCATTTAAACCTCATGAATCATTTGGCGGGCGTCCATTTGGTTTAACTGTTAACTTGGTCTACAAGGACTCGGTGAGATATTATTATATATTAACATCTGTTAAAGAGGAACTGAAGCCTAAAGTTTCACCATTTCTAAATTGCAACTTTTAGCATAATATCAATATTTTTTAAAGTCTTTGGGCTTGACTTTGCCTTGAAAAAATAGGCAAAAATTAAAATTAAAAAAAAATCTTGCTTCTAAACTTGTGTATAGCAGGTTTGTTGAAGTTATATTGCTTCTTATGGGGATTAAATTTAAAAATGGAATAATAAAGTATGTTTCTAATATAAAATTTTGGCTTCTGGCTGGGTTTTGATGGGCTGGGGATGTTGTTATAAATTGATCACTGAATGTGTCCATGTTGTTTACTAAATCACTCTTTAAACTTCACATATATGGTTTTACATGGTCATACATGTTCTATTTCTTACCCCCATTTATCATGTTTTAAATATGTTCATATCTGGATGATATTTTCAAACCAAATTAACTCGGTAGTCTGGGGTTGAGTGATATATGGCAAAATGAAAACATGGTTGTATGTAATGCAGAGCCCAGTTTAGTGAGTCATTAAATCACACAGTGAGTTGTTTCTTTTGTTTATGTAGAGAAATGTGTTTGTGTATATAGTTTAAATCAGTGATTTATTTATGGTGTATTGTGCAGCATTTGTATGTACCAATGATTAGGGTAGAGTCATTGTAAAACACAGGGTGAGCTACCAAACACCTAAATCCTCAAAAGAAAATGGCTCGAATGTCTTGAACTGCATTGTTGTGTATGGAACCTCAAGTCTGAAATGCTTGGAACAACTGTGAAATAAAAGCTAAGGAGGACACCCTCTCAAAAATATTCTCCTATAACAGGGGATTGTTATGCAAACACTCGAGTGACTGATTGACCAAAGTATTACTTATCAGGGGACTCAATTCATCAAAGCTTTTTACTGTGCTACAGGAATATCTGTATTTTATGTGTTTCAGCATAGATCTGCATATAGAGGGAATAAACCTGCCTTTTTTTGTCAGTTTCTTGCTTCTGTATGCTCTTTAACCCTTGACAACAGACACGTTTGTGGGCTGTAAACATAGCTTTGCAGTATCTCTTGCGAAGACATTGATCTTTCATTTTTTTGTTTATCAGTCGGTGGAAACTTCTGTTTCCTCTGTGTCTCCTTCTGAGTCAATTGGTTCTTCGCCTGGAGAGTAATTAGGCTCGAACTGGAAGGGTACAAACCTCTGATACTTATGAAATAAAGACCATTAAAATGTTAAGTTTGCATTTACTGTGCACTCATGTGTGGCCTTTGCAAATGAGAGAAGTGTTTCATTTCCTTACCACTGATGCCACATTTGACCTCTGCTTCTTGCTTTGAGCCCATGGTTTAATGGGAATAAACGCGGAAAAAGAGAACTTCAAGTAGAATTTTCTTGGAAATAACAAGAAGCGTGTGAAAACAAGTATTGAGACTTAATCTTATTCCTCTAAAGCTAACTAGAAATGAATGCAAAAAAAAAGAAACAATTTTAGACTTAAGTTTCCCTTTATATTGAACTCCTTGGCTATTGTAGCATTTAGATCAAGTGATAAGTTAATTCTTTTGATTAGCCACCTAATCTGATGGTGAATTGTTATTATCCCAATGACTTGCACAGGAAGGTAAACCATTCATGGATGCAGTCTTCAATGAAACTATCACCATAACAGAAAGCGATGAAGGAATTGATGGTGAAACGTAAGAAGACATCTTTGTTTCATATAGGACATAGCCTTTCAATTTAAAGTTCAGGGAAGATGTTGGTGGCCTTTTCATACTTGTTACTTTCCTTTCACATTTGTTTAGTTTTGACTTGTGTTTTTATTATTATAATTAATTTTTCGTCAGCTTCTTCCTGTATGTGTTCTTGGCAGCAATAGCTCTGCTGTTAGTTTTAGCTGGTCACTATGCTCTCACGTCAGTCAAGGTCAGTAAAGCTAATCTTGAACTTTTAAATCTAATGACCCTACCTGTATTGAAGTTTTGCATGCCACTTAATCACCCATCTTAATTAGAAGCTAATGTTTGAGCTTGGATTTAAGTTCATGAGTTCATGTCAAATCTACATGCACAAAAGTGAGTTGTTGTTGTTGGTGTTTTGTGTTTGTTTTTTTCTCTTGAAGGGAAAGAAACCAGCCTCCAAGCCTGTAATTGAGATGGGTACACAACAGAATGCTGATATTGACTATGACTGGCTCCCCAAAGAAACAACCACAGAGTTTGGTAAGTTACAAAACCACTACACTAAAGGTTATTTTTATTTTTCTGTCAGTGGTGGCTTTAGTATTTCTTATCAAGCAAGTATTAGTGAAAGTTATACCCAATCAACTAAGCTGCAAAAGGATCAGAGATTAATCTAGGTCCAATCACCAAAATGTCTAAAAAGTTTTGTCAAATTAGAGCATCATAGTTTTCCTGACTTCTGGTGCTTCTCCTTCTATCAGGTGTTTATGGTCAGAAGCATAACATAACAGCTACCTGTGAAAGTCATTGTAATGTTGATTTAATTGTTTATGAGAAAAACAAATTGAAAATCAGTTAAAGCTTAAAAAAACTAACTAACACATTGAAATTTCCCATTCTGTTTATTTAGTTGGCAAAAATTCTCCTCGCCGTTCTCCAAGAAACAGACGTCAGAAGCGCAACACAGGCTCTGATGAATAGTCATTAAGTTATTAGATATATCAATTGTGAACTTACTGTGGCTGGCCTATTTACTTTGGTGTGTTACACACTGTCTGAATCTTTAACAAAAACTTTTCACTGAAGAAACAGTAGGTAATGCATCACTAACTTGCTTTTTTTCCCCAGTTTGACACTTATTGTAGACCCTTATCTTGTTATGACGTATAATTATGTTCTGTGGTTGAAGCTTTTGGTCAACTTTTGGTTATCTTATAAACATTATGCTGGTTCTTTTTTTGCTTGTCCAATCAAAATCAAGTAATCTTGAAAAGCAAATACGCTTGATATTTTTTGTCAGGCCTGAAGCCATTTGCTTTCTTGATTGGATGATTGGTTGAGAAACTTGGAAACTAGCTGAAATTTCATTCTGTGATCGCAACTCGTCTAAAAGATTTTGCAACCACTAACAGTGTATTATAATGTAATGAATTTTTAAGAGTTCTAGGAAACAAATTAAAATCCTCTGACTTTCGCTCAAATTGGCTGCAGAACGCAAAACCATGTTCTTCATGTACAATTCATGACTTCATAGAAGAAGTGTTATTGATTAAAAAATATCTAAACAAGCCAGAAGTTGTTTTTTTTTCTTCTGCTCAAAGGTAGTTGTCAGGAAATACATTCAGCCATAGTCGTTCTCCATTAAGTGAAATATTGATTGGTGCATCCACCACAAAATCAATTAGTAAACAAAGAATTTTGTTCAGTGTGTACCGGAAATCCTCTGACTAGTATTCAGTGCGCTTCTTTCAAATTTAGGTAAAGATGTGGGCGCTTATTCAAGGGGGCGCGCTTGTTTAGTTTTTCCCAACAAGGGGTTCAAAAAGTGATGAGGTGCCATTAAAATGTACAAATCAAAGGCAAATCACCCACTAGATATGATTCCTCACCCATAGAAATGGTGGGAGAGGAAGAAGGAGTGTGCTCGTTCGCGGATTTTTGGTGATGGAAGACGATAGCGGTATTTTGTGCTGTGTGAGCTATATCTATCTCATTTAACAGGATCGGGATGAACACGGCTTCCATTAAATAAAGAAAGATTTTAAAATCTGTCTGGAACATTCCGTGAATTAAGCCAGAGCTTACTTGTACTGAAGGTACAAGGAAGTTTTGCTCCACAGATCGATGTTCACACAGTCTAATCCATGACGAAGCCTGGTATTTCAAGTCGATTGGCATCTGCATGATGCACAAGGCAAGAAACACGAGTTCCTTAGTTTTGTCATGGACGTTGCCTGGCCTTTAGACATTTAGTCACAGCCAGATTTTAATGCACTCCCTATTTTTCCTTCCTGGTTTTAATCTTTTCGCTTTTTTCTGTGACAACGTTATTATAATTCGGTGTATTCCTCAGCTTTGGCTTTTGGGTAGCTTTAGTATGCGCATAGCAGGCACTTGAATAAATTCGACAGGATAGTTTGACGGTATAAATTTGAAGTGCGTGAGGGAAGAGGTAGGTGCCCCAGGGCTTCACATGTGACTAACCCCACAAGACTGGACACGGCCTCAGAAGAGGCTTGGGTGTAAGGTCGATCTTCTCTCGGCCAAGCGTGATATGGTCAATTTTGCGTTCGTATATCACAAGGTAAGTAGGGAGCATAAACCGTACTACTCCTAGTTGAGAGAAAATTTAACTTAGACCCAAGCCTCTTCCGTAGGCCTGTCCAGTCTTGACATCAAAAGCATAAGTAGAACGAAGCGAGCTCGGAAATCCTGATGGAAAACGCTCGTTTTCAGTGTAAATGCGCGGGGAGTTTTGGAACTGAGACATTTTTTCAGGTGCAATGATTTTAGATCGAAAACTTTGGGTGAAAAATTGCCGATCGCAAGGATTTTCTAGGTGTAAACCGCCCCTGTGTGGGCAACGGTCGAAATCGTATGGTGTGCAGCCTTGACTCCGTCTCATAACAGGAATACCATTGCCCAAAACGGCAGAGGACACCGGTAACCACAACGGACACACAAAGAATGGGTAAGTTCTCTTAATCTTACGCGTAGAACGTGCGTATTTCCAATAA